AAAATTAAGATTAAAGGTAATTAATCCACCTTTAAGGTATAAAATTTGGTAGGTGTTATTATTAATAAAATAGTTGTTGTATTTACCTATGTTGTTTTATTTATACCTGTGGAATATTACAAATTTGTATTTGTACATAAGTTATATTGATAAATATAATCATAAATGCGGGTAGTTTCATAAAGCTTGAAAGTAAATAATAGTTATTTTTTATATTTTTTTGGTATGTAGTGCCTTGTTCTTGTTTGTTTTGTATTAACACATACCGTTTTTATTAAATAAAATAACTCGATTACATTTTTTCAGTTTTATACAATTTTGAAGTAATCACTTGTCATCTTGTCAATCAAATTTTAAATATATCGCCACAGATATCGCTATGCGTTCCAGTTGTACCAACTTATTTCTTTGTAAAATAAAATAAACTACTTTGAAATTAAAATGACAGACACATCTATCACTGTCAAGGATCTTCTCGTTGGACAGACTATAACTTAGTATAATATATTATACAAATACAAATTTGTTATATTCCACAGGAATAAATAAAACAACATAAATAAAACAAACTATTTTATTAATAATAACACCTACCAAATTTTATACCTTAAAGGTTGATTAATTAACTTTAATCTTAATATTTTTAAACCAGTACCTTTTGACATTATTTTTCTGCAGTACTAAAATCCATTATTTACCTATCGTGTGATGTCGATATTTTACAGCTACTCCAGTTTTTAGTATGTGTTTAGTATGGTCCTACTATATTCGAGATGCACTTATCTACGACAAGATGGTATACGAACTTTATTGAGGGTAACTTTATTGGTGTATAAGACTTTCTGCTTGGGCAGCGAGTATTAACCATACACTGTGCTCTGGGTCTATAGTTAATTTTCACTCAATTTTTCCTCCACTTGACTTCAAAAGACACAAAACACAGGTAATAACACGAATCAAAATGCATCATCTTCCAAAACGCAGGGTATTTGACAAAGTTGACACAAGTTGACACAAAATTATAACCTATAATTTGGCAAGACTTTGACAAGCCTCAAAAATCTAAAGGCGAGTTTATACGCATCGGCGTCCGTTTGTCGTTCATCGTTCCGTCAAACCAATAAAATTGAAATATGATCTGTCATTTTTGAAATAAACCAATAAAACTGGTTAAAAACAACAAGAGACGACGTATGACGGATTTATATTTAAACCCATCCATAGTTAACTTAAAAATTATTAGAAACTTTTTTTAGTAAAATAAATAGATTGGTATGGGACGTCATCTGTTTTTCTTCTGTCATCGTCTGTCGAAATCTTACCTGAGAAAAAAAACAGAGTATAGGTTCTTCTGATATAGAGACTATATCTTCATTCCCGAGAATCTATAATAATAATTGTTGTTACAGGAAATATGTTGTTTTATATTTTTTTTGAAATGGTTGGATTTTTCCAAATTCTTACCGACATTTTGATCTGCAGTAAGTATTTTACACTTTGACTAATACTAATTTCAGTGTCGACTTAAAAGTATTTCCGAACAATAATATATTGTTTTATTAGGAGTAAAAATTATACTTTTTTTGCTGTACCTTTGAAGGACCATCGTAAAGCAATTCCGACGTTACAAGGAAGGACAAAAAGTACATTTTTACTCCTAATAGAACATACATACTATTTTTTTAAAACATTACAAATCATTTTTAATCAATTTCAAACATTGCAAATAATATAAACAGCAATCGAGCAACAATTTGTACACTCGTTGAATTTGACACTTAATATCAGTTTAATAATATATTTTTGTACTTTTGTGCTTAGGCATAACAGTGTACTTTTATACCTTGGCGTTAAAATGACAAAAATTAATACTTTTGAGACGTTTGAAAATCTGAAGCGAGCGATTTTTTTGCCAAATATATTGGTGACCGATGTGGAAAAATGACAAACGCATCTTAGAATTATTAATGTTATCGATAATGGGCAGAATTATAAAAATTTAGCCATTTAGGATAGGACTTTAATTGGAAATAAGTCCTAGTCATTTGGAAATCCGATTTAAATATTGTTTTGAATTAAAATCAAAAAAATCTGATTTAAATAAAAAAAATGTGATTTAAATGAAATAAATCTGATTTTTTTGATTTTTTTAAAAAAATCATGATTTTTTCCAACCCTGGTAATAATGTATACAGGGTGTCCCAGGCTGAGCGTTCATTAGTTTAAGTTTAAGTTTCTAGAGAACCACAATATCTAGATTTTTTGCCCATTATTTTTTCACAACGAGAACTATCGATTGAAAATATTTTCAATATGGCGGCACTTCCGGAGATACCAGAAGTTGACAGCAACCTTCTTATTTTAAATTGGTGCCCCCATTTTTTATTACAAACTTAAATTCTCTCTAAAATTCTATAAATATTGATGTTAAACAGACTATATTTAATATTAACCGTTTTTTAGAAAAAATAAAAATTTTAAATTTTTAGAGGAAAAAACTACCTGTCAAGAAAATTTGTATAGCCTAAAAGTCAAATTTAGTGATTACCACAGCCACTGTGCCATAGAGAGAAGACATGTGGCTATCTATTTCAAAAATTAAATTGTTCAAATGTCATATAATAATGACAGCAGCTGTCATGGAATTGAACGATTAAAAAATTATCATAAATCATTTTTTTCAAATGAAAACCCACTTTTTCATTTCACTGGTGAAAAGGCTTTTCAATTCCTTACTTTTTTATTATACATGTTCCTATACCTAAAATAAATCGTTTTTAAGTTATTTAAGATTTAGTTTTAAAGCATATATTTTTCTTGATTTTAACCATCTTTAAACGTCAAGTGATGTAGAACAATAGATATGGCCATGTTATAAATACACTTTTTCAACTCTCAAGCAGGAGCATTTAAAATATAGGAAATTCAAATAATTAATTTTTTGACAGATGGAAATAAACTGTCTGACTGTTTGACACTTAATGTCAAAGGAAGCTAGATAAAATCAAGAAAAATATAAGTTTTCAAACTAAATCTTAAATAACTTAAAAATGATTTATTTTAGGTATAGGAATATGTATACTCAAAAAGTAACGAATTGGATAACTTTTTCACTAATGAAATAAAAAAGTGGGTTTCCATTTGAAAAAAATGATTTATGATAATTTTTTAATTGCTCAGTTCCATGACAGCTACCGCCATTATTATACTCTGTTTTTTTTTCTCAGGTAAGATTTCGACAGACGATGACAGAAGAAAAGCAGATGACGTCCCATACCAATCTATTTATTTTACTAAAAAAAGTTTCTAATAATTTTTAAGTTAACTATGGATGGGTTTAAATATAAATCCGTCATGCGTCGTCTCTTGCTGTTTTTAACCAGTTTTATTGGTTTATTTCAAAAATGACAGATCGTATTTCAATTTTATTGGTTTGACGGAACGATGAATGACAAACGAACGCCGATGCGAATGAACTCGCCTTTAGATTTTTGATGCTTGTCAAAGTCTTGCTAAATTAGAGGTTATAATTTTGTGTCAACTTTTGTCAGTTTTGTCAAATACCCTGCGTTTTGGAAGATGATGCATTTTGATTCGTGTTATTACGTGTGTTTTGTGTCTTTTGAAGTCAAGAGGAGGAAAAATCGAGTGGAAATTAACTGTAGACCCAGAGCACAGTTTATGGTTAATACTCGCTACCCAGGCAAAAAGTCTTATACACCAATAAAGTTACCATCTTTAAAGTTCGTATACCATCTCGTCGTAGATAAGTGCATCTCCTTTGTGCATCTCGAATATGGTAGGGACCATATTAAACACATACTAAAAACTGTAGTAGCTGTAAAATATCGACATCACACGATAGGTAAATAATGGATTTTAGTACTGCACAAGAAAAATAATGCCAAAGGTATTGGTTTAAAAAATTAAGATTAAAGTTAATTAATCAACCTTTAAGGTACCCATAAAATTTGGTAAGTGTTATTAATAATAAAATAGTTTGTTTTATTTATGTTGTTTTATTTATTCCTGCGGAATATTACAAATTTGTATTTGTACATAAGTAATATTGATAAATATAATCATAAATGCGGGAAGTTTCATAAAGCTTGAAAGTAAGAAATAGGTCTTTTTTATATTTTTTTTGGTATGTGGTGTCTTGTTCTTGTTTGTTTTGTATTAACACATACCCTTTTTTATTAAATTAAATAACTCGATTACATTTTTTCAGTTTTATACAGTTTTTTTCACAATATTTTGAAGTAACCACTTGTCAGTCAAATTTTAAATATAATAATATCCCGCTATGCGTTCCAGTTGTACCAACTTATTTCTTTGTAAAATAAAATAAACTACTTTGAAATTAAAATGACAGACACATCTATCAGTGTCAAGGATCTTCTCGTTGGACAGACTATATATGATATTTGAACAACTTAATTTTTAAAATATATAGCCACATATCTTCTCTTTATGTCACAGTGGCTATGGTAATCACTAAATTTGACGTTTAGGCTATACACATTTTTTTGACAGGTAGTTTTTTTCTTCAAAATCGGTTAATGTAAGGTACCTATAGAGTGTTTGATATCAAAATTCATAAAATTTTACAGAGAATTTAACTCTGTAATAAAAAATGGGGGCACCCATTTAAAATAAGAAAGTTGCTGTCAACTTCCGGTAATTTCCGGAAGTGTCGCTGTGTGTCGCTGTATTAAAAATATTTTTAATCGATAGATCTCGTTGGGAAATATTGATGTGCAAAAAATATGCGATGTAGATATTGTATAGTTCTCCAGAAACTTCTAATGCACGCTCAGTCTGGGATACCCTGTATAAAATGGTTAAATAAACATAAATATACATTTCACTGAATATATTGAAAAAAATCTATCTCTATGAACTTATAGACTAGCCACGAATAGATTTTGACAAATTTATTAATTTAATTTAAATTAATGATGACTGGCCTTGTTAAGGGAGAACTGTTCATAACTTACCACATAATTCGTGTTTTTATTATGCAGCAATAACGATTCGAGAAATGAGTATGCGGTGTTGCTACATCCAACTACAACAATTTTTGAGTTGATGCATAGTCGCTTCATGCTGCTATGCGCTACAGTACTTGCATACAGCGCGTACGGGTCCTTTCTTTGCAGAGCTTCAGATACTTCATAACCTAGAGTAATATATAGTTTATTTTTAGCTTAGATTGGAACTATAGGAAACAAGAAATACCCATCTTATCCGATAGTCAAGCAGCCTCAAGAGCTATTAACTTAATATCAATCAATTCGAAGCTGGTTAAATAATGCTTAGAGAAGCTAAACAAATTAGTCCTCCTACTCTATGTGCCAGCAAGAGATAGAAGGTAATGAAAAAGCAAACGATCGAAGAAGAAAGAGAGTGAGCACTCAACTACTGGATCAGAACTGTTCTCAACTCAAGAACCTAGGAGACTCCATTCGTAACCTGGAATGGGAATCCTCCAACGGTCTAAGACACTCAAAGAAATTTCTCAGGACTATGATCGTATGATCGAGAGAAATCAAACATTTTCGTTGATTTAATTATGAACAATTTTGTCACTGGGTTTTTAACAGGACACTCTCAATTCTGCTGAGGCTAGTAGATTGAAGCTAAGAAACAACGGCGAATGCAGATTCTGCAGAGAAAATGAGGAAATACCAGAACATCTCATTACTGAGTGCACTGAGACGACAACCATTCCTTATTTGTGGTGCCATAAACTTTGGTACGACTGATATCGGAGATGGAGAATCAGTCTGTGTAAAACCGTCTCAGCTAGGGTTTTGTCAAAGCTCTAAGTTTGTATGATGAGTTATAATTTAAGAAAGTGTGTGTGTGGAACCTACAGACCTACAGTCTACAATCTATAACCTAGATAAATACCATACCGGGTGTTGCATCATCGGACGGGACATAGGAAATACCATGTAAATTTTAATGGGGTCAATTATTGGTTTCCTAATTATTTTAGAGAATAATTCTATTTAGGTTTATTATAAGAGCACTAAAACCCACATTCAAAAGAATAACTTTAGATATTTTTGATTAGCTCGTTTACGAGTTAAATTATCGCGGATTTTTTTTTAAATATTTCTCCTTTCTTATGGCCCTGTATTTACTTACGAGCACCAGTCAAGGTAAAAGATAACCTGTCAAATGAAGTTGTCATTTCAGAAATTTACCTATTTAGTGCTTTCTTATTATTGAAAACTCATTCCTACATCGGAAATCTTAAAGATGTATTTATAAATACAAATTAATACGAATTAAAGTAAAATAAAGTAATCAATTACAAGGTTAATTATAGTATTATTACAATATTCAATAACTTATTAATTTAGGTACTATTAAATTGTTAGAACTGTAGGATTTAAGAAGATGTTCAAATATTCCTCCATGGACTGCTAAACAATAACCCAGGCGATCATAAAATTCTCTTCTTAGATTCGCTAGTTGGTAAACTGAAATTCTATTGCATTCGGCAGAAATAGCATCCGCTAACTCGTCTAGATTTGTGTATTTTTTATCCTTGTATATCCTGTTTTTTAAATGGCCCCAGAGAAAGAAATCATTTGGCGAAATATCAGGAGACCTTGCTGGTCAATTTACTGTATGATTTAGGCCAATAACGTTTCCGTTAAAACGATTGTCTAAATATTCTCGAACAGCCAGGGTACTATGTGCCGGGCAGCCATCCATTTGGTACCAAACTTCCTGATTTTCCCTAGCGGCATCATAAAAGCAGGTAAAATATGATTTTCGAGTAGTTCGAAATAATATTCCGCATTTAAATTTTGCGTAAGAAATAATGGCCCCGATAATATTGTGTCCGAATATCCCTGCCCAAACATTTACTTTCTGTGGATATTGCGTCCTTGTTTCGACAAACCTGTGTTGGTTTTCTTTGTTCCAATATCGATAATTTTGAACATTGGGTTTATTATTTAAGGTAAACGTGCATTCGTCAGTGAAACATATGTTTTTTAAAAATTCCCTATCCGTGTTTGCTCTTTCCATCATATCTAAACAAAACGCCTGCCGCCATATTTCGTCCCCATCTCGTAGCTCTTGGTGCTTTTCATATTTGAAGGAATAGTATTTATGTCGTTTCAAAATTCGAAACGCTGTAATGTGATCTATTCCTATTTCATCCTCAAGTTTGGGTAGTGTAATTCATGGTTAATATTTTCAATGTAGGTATGAGTTTTTAATAATAATAATAAAGCACTAAATAGATAAATTTCTGAAATGACAACTTCATTTGACAGTTATCTTTTACCTTGACTGTTGCTCATAAGTAAATACAGGGCCATAAGAAAGGAGAAATATTTAAAAAGAAATCGGCGATAACTCGTAAACGGGCTAATCAAAAATATCTAAAGTTATTCTTTTGAATGTGGGTTTTAGTGCTCTTCAATAAACCTAAATAGAATTATTCTCTAAAATAATTAGGGAAGCCAATAATTGACCCCATTAAAATTTACATGGGATTTCCTATGTCCCGCTCGACGATGCAACACCCGGTATACGTATAATATGTAAGATCAGTCCAAAGAGAAGATACGTCAGTAACAATTTTTGTCTGTCATTTTAACTGCCAGGCCAATTGAATCCTGTGTTTTTTGGATGTCGTCTGTATTATTGAGACTAAGAAGTAAAATAGACTAACAAGAGAACTATAATTTGGTCACTTTGCTTCAAACATTACTCTAATCTTCAATCAGTAATCTCTGGTGCAGTAACATTAACAAAACTAATAGTAATACCTTCTTCTTTTAACATCTCGTAGTCGTATTCTGGAGTTTGCCTAGGCAAAATGGGTATTAACCATTGCAATAAGTTAGCTAACGGTTTTTCTTTGAACGTTCCCTTTTCAATGTTCCTATATTTATAGAACAAAACCTTATAGTCGGATAACCTGTGTAAATCCGACATAATGTACCTATAAAATAAATATCATTCAGTAAAGATCTATTAGCACGTGTCAGTCACGTCTTAGTTCCGTTCCGTTAAACAGCCTAAAAATACCGTATGATCGAAAAAAAAACGGTGTCCAGTTGGCTGAGAAATGACGATCGATGACATTTCCCATATAAATTTACATACAAAATGATAGCGATCTTCATTCATAGCCATCGCTGACGCCGTTTTTTTTTTGTATCATGATATAAATGTATATTGATGTATATCGTTGCCCCTTTAGCCCTTAACTGCTGACATTCTCTAAAATTAATGCTGACAGGGAATCTCACAGACTCCGTTGTAAAATGTATTTTTAAGCAAAACCAGTTTTCTGAGGGTTTTAGGTTTTTTAGTATATTAGTACTATTTGGTTTAAATTTTTAGGGCATTGTTATATACAAGGTGAGTCTTGAATAAGTGCAAATATTTCTAATGGTGATATATTTTGAGACCAAGAATACGTGTTACTTTTTTTCGTAAAAAATATGTTGAAAGAAATCGGGCATTTTTTTAATTTTCCTATATATTTTAGGAAACTTTTTAGAACTGCCTTTTTACCGCAAATTTTCCCACGGTATAATTACTTAATCTCTGATATTATCATGGTTACGGCACTAAAAGGGATGCAAATATAGAAAAAATCCGGTGGCTCTTATTGTTTTTAATCAAACTTAACTCGGTTATTTTGGACATACTTGAAAAACGGTAAAGAGAAAATATGTTTCGTTTGTCGAGATCTACCAACCCTGAAAATATTTGCACTTATTTAAGGTATAACACATTTTATGGAAACTCACCAAAACAAGAAAAGTTAGAAAAACATTTTTTTTATAGTAAGCGAACTCAAAATTCGATATATTCCTTGAATATTTCTAAATACAAACAAAGATCCTCGCGATATTTGGAATCGAAATAATCAATACACGTCATCATTGACAAAACACATATTGACAAGATGGTTATTAGACTGAAATCATAAATTTGAACTTTTTTACTTATTTTTATCTGTAGAATATTTTGCCGAAGTTTCTCGAATATAATTCGGACCACCCTGTATAACAAATTCAATCGAGGGACAATTCTTCACTGATATTATTATGGCGCGTTCTCACGACTCGTGTACTTGGCAAGTATTTTATATTGGCCTACAGGGTCTGGCAGGAGTGCGGCGTAGTTTTCCTATAATAAATAACTTATAAATTCTGGTATAGATGCCCGACACACCGTGTATACCTTGTATACCAATTACAAATGTTTATCAAATACGTGAGTCGTGAGAATGCGCCTTTAGACTAGCGATTAAAAATGTGAGGGAATGAGACGGTATGGCAAGGGATCTGAAACGTGACTGACATGTGTAAATAAACCTTAATGTTGTAAATTATTTAAAATTTGACGTATTGAGAACCTGGCAGCGCTGTGAAATATGGGGGATAGAACCAGGCTTTCGATGTTGCCAAACGATCCACTGCGCATACATTTCAAGTTAATCCACTGCTTGATATCATACTGCGCATCGATGTAGTCGATATTGTATTCTTCCGAGAAAACTTTTGAAAAAAAATGAAATATTTTAATAGATAGCATGTATCCAGCGTGTTTCTTCAGAATCTAAGGGTTCCAGCTCACTCAAAGAGACCTTGCATTATTTTAGTTTATTTAAAGTAAATTTTACCTGCTACTCCAACGACATGGTTTTCGCAAAGTATTACGAAACATTGATAAGGACTGACGGCAAATTCAAGACAAATTTCAACATGAGACAGAACGATGGCATGTGTTGGTATAGTACTTAACAGAGTACGAATTTCTGGCAAATCTTCTTCTCTAGTCACCTACAAACCCATATTAAATTTATAGGATTGTCGTAGCTTATTTAATACCCAGCTAAATATTTTCTAGTAAAGCCTGTTTAAAGAGGGAGGAAATTTTGACGACAGATGACAGAAAATACAATTTATCTGTATTAAAATGACAGATAATAACAACTATTAGAAATAAAAATATTAAGGAAGGAGCATATTAATAAAGTATGTAATCGACACTGTGATGGGTCTTTAATATGGCTCACTTAAATTCGGCTTTATCAGTGGAGTTCTAATTTTATTTAAAACATTTAAGAGATTCTGCTTTACGTTGAGTAAATAAGTGATTGAATAAGTTGTTTTTTCATAACAATACATGCTTTTTCTAATAAAAACAACGGTCGACACTCGAAGAAATTTCTGAGAACATACGACCAAGAAAAATTAAAAAGATTTTCATAGGTGTAAAATCGCTTATTTCTGGGGCTTACTCAACCGGGTCTCACAATGCAAATTCACCTCAAATATCCATTTAGTTGGTCATTGGCAAGCACTCTCTCATTGTACATGATAATAACAAAACAAACATTTACTGATCTGGATAAAATTGATAGTTAAATAGTAAAACTCACCCGGGAGTACTCCGCCCCCTAGCCACTGACAGTCTATTCAATATATCTCATTCTATATCTTCCATCTAATTCAAATATTCGGATTTATTGGTTAATAATCTTCAACAACTAGCTAGTGTCACCTGCAATAGTATAGGGGCTTCCCCCGGACGCAAATCTGCCCACCTCAACGCCGCATCGTGTCAATCGAGAAGAAAAGGGAGACCTCAAACTCTCAAGACCAACCTCGAAGGCAAGACGTCACAAGAGGTTTTCTTCTCATGGTCAAACGACACGTTACCTTACAGTACATGCAACGTTTATAGTCAAAAGACTATCAACCCCCAAATGTCAGCTCTATGACAAAACACAACACAACACAACGGCCGGTCTACTACTGACTCGCCGCAGGCAAGCTAAGCCTTCTCTTACATCACAATTTTACCTGATCACAAATATTTACATCGCTTGCTAATGAATCATACTATTTTCTCTAATCGACTTTCAAACAGAGTGTTTTAGCATTACTAGATAAATAAATAGACAGTTTCCGAAGGAATGCATATTCTTTATTAGAATAGTGAATAAATAAAAGCATTATTATGTAAGAACTCTATTTTTCTATGCTACGTTTTCTTTATCTGACGTAATAACAAACGAATAATTTCAAAAGCCGGAGCGCAATGGAATTTCAAAATTCATGTACCTGCACTTTTCAAAAAGGTTTCAAATAACACGCAATACAGTATCGCCGTCTAAAACAGTATTAGACAGCCTCAGAGAAACAAGTGGTACGCGCTTATTAAATTAAAACTATTAAAGTTTTTGAGGTTTAATTAAGGTTTTGTGGTAGTTCTGAGTTCCATTGCCGTGCCGAATAAGAAGTTTAATTAAGGTGAGTTTATTTTATCTCACTGAGCAACTAGTTGGTTACTGTTTATTGTTTTTATTGTGATATATTATATTTCTGAATCTTAGGTATATTTTAATATATTAGATTGAATATTAAGAAAAGATGATTTGCAGATGATAATATTGAAGTATTTCTTTACAGTGATTTATTTATATTTTGTCTAATGACTTTAATAGAAGATAAGAATATATTTCTGTATTTGTATTATCAAATTGATCTTGAATGAATTAATTATTATTATTTTCTACAGTTAGCTTTTGTCGCGTAGTGACTCTGTGTAGCGTAGTTAGCCTTGAAGAGTAGTTCGTCCTGTAGCGTAATTAGCCTTGACAAGTAGTTAGTCCCGTAGTGTAATTAGACTTGAAGAGTAGTTAGCCCCGTAGTGTAGTTTGACTATTAACTTGTGCATTTTTTTAGCCTGTGTGGCACTTTGATAGCCTGTGTGGCATTTTTTTAGCCTGTGTGGCACTTTGATAGCCTGTGTGGCATTTTTTAGCCTATATGGCACTTTTTAGCCTGTGTGGCATTTTTTTAGCCAGTGTGGCATTTTTTTAGCCTGTGTGGCACTTTGATAGCCTGTGTGGCATTTTTTAGCCTGTGTGGCACTTTGATAGCCTGTGTGGCATTTTTTAGCGTGTGTGGCACTTTGATAGCCTGTGTGGCATTTTTTAGCCGGTGTGGCACTTTGATAGCCTGTGTGGCATGCTTTTTAGCCTGTGTGGCATTTTTTAGCCTGTGTGGCATTTTGATAGCCTGTGTGGCATGTTTTTGTTAATAGTCTGTGTGACTAGCCTGTGTGGCATTTTATTATTTTATTTAAACTTGTATTTTTAAGTTGGACTATTGATAAATCATTCAAGTACCTGTTTAATTTTAAATTCACTTTATTTTAATACAACATTGTTGCTCACACATTGTTTTTTTCTTTAATTGCAGGTAGGTTATCTCGGTAGCCAGGTCATAAAGACTTTTGTTGCTATACAACATTTGTCCATTTGCAGCGCCCAGATGAAAGTTATTACCATTAGTAACGTACCATCTATTAGTATTATTTTTATTTTATATTATTAGTTGTATTTTATTATACAACATTTACGCCCTTTAAATTTGTTTTATGGTTTTTATTTTTAATTTGAGTTGACCGCTTGAAAAAAAAAAAATTGGCCCGTACAATTATAACAAACTTATTTTCCAAGTGTTACATAGGGTTAGGTACGAACAATTTTCGGATTGTCACGGGGTTGAAGAACACAAGCATCAGAAGATTATCTATTATATTATTAGCATCAGAAGGTTATGCAAGGCGTTTTCTTTCATGAGATTTTCTGTGACTGAAAAGCCCGATACGTTATGTTATCTCTCTTTCGCACTCCGGACATTCAAAAATTTCACTGCTTTGTTGCCTCTTTACTTTTTGGTTGTCGCTGTTAACTGAGTTTACAGTTCGTTCTTCTCTATTGCGTTCTATTGTGCGCTGCTTCTTCCCACTCATTTTGCATGTTTATTCCCTTTAAGTTTTCGTTGATAATATAAGGTCATTCAGCACTCGCAAAGAGAGATATGCGCAGCTGGTGATACGCAGATCCTAGAAACTATATGGAGATATCCAGCTGGGTATTAAATATAGTGTGACTGTTAGGTAGAATTTTAATTACTTACTCTACATTTGAGTTTTCCTAAATGAGAACTCTTATGTAAGACGTAGAGTTCATAGGGAAATGAAGCATTTGCTCTTGGCGTCACTCTGAGGGAAGAATAACAAATTAAACTTTAAGGTTATCAATGTTATACGACTAGAAATATAGTGTGTTTAGCGAAAAAATAGCATAGTTAGCAAAAAAATAATGGTGGATGTAGCTCAGCTAGGTAAGTGTGTGTGTCTGCTACTTGAAAGTACTATTTTTTATAAAATGTACGTATTGTGGGCTTGCGAAAAATTGATTTCTCCAAAAAACCAATCCTTTATGGGTGTTTCGCCACTGCACTGCAAGAAAAATCTGCAAAATAAAATAGTTATTTTTTGTAAACACTTGTTAAACCTAAACGGACGCTGCTTTTCAGAAGATATGTTTACAGTTATACAAATTTGCCTAACAAAGAAAAAAATGCTTAACGTTTCGGAAATGTTTAACGCAGAAGTGTTTACAAAAAATAACTATTTTATTTTGTAGATTTTTCTTGCAGTGCAGTGGCGAAATACCTATAAAGGATTGTTTTTTGGAGAGACGAATCCGCCACATAAGTATAGACATTTTAGATATTCTTTCGCAGGACAAACTTACTATAAAAAATATCTACACCTCTGTGGCGGATTCAACTCTTCAAAAAAGTCCTATGGGTATTTCCCCACTGTAAGAAAATCTACAAAATAAAATAATTATTTTTTATAAATACTGCTGCGTTAAGGTACATTCAGGCTGAGAGCGTCGAGCGTCGAGCGTCGCGTCGCGTTTGCGTCGCGTCCGCCCCATTGAACTCGAACCCCGACGCTCAGCGGACGCTAGCGCAACGCCAAACGCGACGCTGTCTGCCTGAACGGTCTAATTTAAGTTAAATGAATTGATTCCATTTTGACACGCGGACGCGACGCAAACGCGACGCTACGCTCGACGCTCTCAGCCTGAATGTACCTTTAAATCCAACGGAGACCAGCTTGTCAGCAGTGATTAACCATCACTGAAAAAAAATATTAAAGTGTTCTTAAATATTTGTATTTGGATATTTTAAATAGTTTCTTTTCTTTATGCTTTGTGTTTTTTGCTTCCGACGGAAATTTAATCCGACTTTTAATCCAACGAAGCTGGTCTTCGTTGGATTAATGCAGAAGTTTTTACAATAAACAATTATTTTATTTAGTTAGTAGATTTTCTTACAGTGGCGAAATACCCATAGGACTTTTTTGTAGAAACTTTACTTAAAAATATACAGGGTTGTTCACCACATACGACACGGAGTATTGTACCTAAAGGATTAGATTTTTACAAATTGTAAGTTTTGGGTTCATTGAAGGACTATTAGAGCTACAATTTAAAAATTTTTTACAAGATACAGAGTGTCCCAAATAAATAAAAAATATCAAAGTTGTATTTTTTTAAATGGAACACCCTGTATATTATTACATTTATAGTTTCTACGATTAAAATAAAGGTAAATTTGATAAAGATTTATTACACTTAAACCTTACCTTTTTTGAAATATTTTCAATTTTGTGAAATTGCAGTCGAAATTTTAAGGCTTCATTTCTCCAAGGGTATCAAAGTTTTTTATACAAAATATTTCCTGAAGTTTATTTATTGATCAGTTATTGTGTTGCAATAATAAAAATTATACTACCTTATACAGAGTGTCTAAAATTTTATTTTAAATAATTACTAGCTTTAACGGCAATAACTTGTTTAATTTAAATGGAACACCCTATATATTTTATGAGAATCAGATGCACAATTTAATTGTCTATCAAATTGTATTATACCATTTTTTACCTATAGCTTCAAGTTTCCGTAGAAAATTCATTTTCTTGTAATTTTAAATTCATTTATCAATATACCCATGGAATACTGACATTTTAGATTATTTTTAAAGACGTACCAAATTTTTAAAGAGTACAGATACTAATATTGTCGATATAGTTTGTTTACTTCATTAAAAAATAAAAAAAAAACTGTTTAAATATTTGTTAAAGAGGACCAATTAATATGATTCCAGTATTCAAACTACATTAATTGACTGTTTGCGTTGATTAATAATAATTGCTCCAAAAACTAAAAAACTGAATTTTTTATGTGTATTAGACAGTATGGTAAAAAGTAACACCTTAAAAATGATATTTCATCTTTTGACAAATGCTTATTTGTAACAACAGAGACATTCATTTTTATAACTTATTATTATATTGATTTCTGATTCAAATCCGCATTTATTTAGAATAATTTATTCAGAAACATAATTAAGTATGTAATTAATTAGTATTTGGACGGAAATAATGGTGGTATATTTAATTAATGGTATACTCTTTTATGAAGTATAGTATATTTTTTATAGTTTTCTTTTTGCGTACAAATGGGCTAGTAATATTATCATTTTGTTAAAAACGATAATATTACTAGCCTGTACATTTTGTACATTTGTTGCTTTAAAAACAATCTAAAATGTCAATATTCCATAGGTATATTGATTAAATGAAGTCTAAATTATAAGAAAATGCATTTTCTACAAAAACTTGAAGGGATAGGTAAAAAGTGGTATAATACAATTTGATAGACAATTAAATTACGCATCTGACTCTCCTAAAATATACAGGGCGTTCCATTTAAATTAAACAAGTTATTGCCGTTTAAAGCTAGCCTTAAAATTTTTACTGCAATTTCACAAAATTGAAAATATTTCAAAAACGGTAAGGTTTAAGTATGATAAACCTTAATAAAATTTACCTTTATTTCAACCGTAGAATCTAAAAATAGAATAATATACAGGGTGTTTAAAATTTTATTTTTTTTCATTTAAAAAAATACAACTATAGCGTTTTTTACTTATTTGGGACACTCTGTATCTTGTAAAATTATTTCTAAATTATAGCTCTAATAGTCCTTCAATGAACCCAAAACTTAAAATTTGTAAAAATCTAATCGTTTAGCTACAATACTCCGTGTCGTATGTGGTGAACAACCCTGTATATAGGAACCATTTGGCAACTGAAGACAGTTACGAAATTTAAATTGTTGTTTTGTTAGGACCTTCATTATTTTATTTTCATGTACCTTATGAATCTGTACATCCAAGTTTCTAACATGCAAGAGCTGGGAACGCTCATTATACAGTAATCTCTTTCAGGAAAACACTCAAATACAGCTCTTAAAACCTAGAAATAAAATATTTGATATGCATATTTTTCCCTAACAGAAGGAAGAGTGGGTACTTGGGTACTTACTATTTGTAAGAAGTGTCTATTATTTCTCTCAATTACATAAACAATATGTCACTACTGGGATCTCTTAAATCAGAAGAGATATATATACAAAAAAATATGCTTTTTGTTGATTCGGTTACAAAGGCATGTTTTGAAATCTAAAAAATTCCGATTACTTCCGAAGATATTTGAAAGGCTAATCCATCATTTTGAACTCTTCTGAATTACGAGTTTTCTGTAGTGTGCATTCTTATTCATTATATTTACTTTAATACTTCGTTATTTCAAATGCAACACTATGTATTTTTTTTGAATAAGTCGAATTCAAACTATATTAGGATTTTCTATACCTATCTGGCATAGATTTTGAGTAAAAAGCGTTTTTTTTCAATAATATTATAATCAAGATGGCTGGTGCCACCATGGCAATTTTCTAGTGACACTTAGTAGCTATTTTCAAAATCGACGTTAGTTTATGAACTTTGTTTAAATTTATAACAGGTTATTTTTATTTAATTTACCTACAATAAGGTTAATAAGTAAGTATTTTAATCAAGAAAAATGAAGCAGTATTTGCTGGCGGAAGGAATGGATATGTTACTAGTGATTTTATTTTGTGAGGATTGCTATTTTATTGAAAAATCGCTTTTTATTCAACATCTGAGCCAGATAGGTATAGGAAACCCTAATATAGTTTGAAGGAGTATTTAAATCTTCTTCGTAAATGACATTTACCACGCCCACTTCTCTCGGGAGTTCTACTCCCTGAAATTCAAGAATAGGTACCCAGCAGTAAGCGCCATTAAAAAATAAAGAAGATCCTGGACCAAGTAACTGACGCATAGGGCAGGATCTCATCAAAATTATCAGCGGTTGTTATTGCTCAGCCGTCTTTGACGCCGTTTTTTTTTCGATCGTACATATGTTTCAAAACCTTATACCGTTGATTGAAAGAATTTCTTTAATCAACGCTTATACTAACCAATTGTAAACTGTACTGATGATCAGGATGGCAGGCGGCAACCTCAATACAGAAAGCATTTCCTCTACCGACAAATTTTGGCATTTTGACCATACGGCTTATGGTAGATACTACAAACCATTAGTATTGTTATCGTAATATCGCCTTTAGATATTTGCAAATATATTGAATATAATTTTGAATATATACTTCTAGATACCCTCTCCATCATGTCGACGTATGTCAATCTGGGGTCCACTTCAAATGCTGTCACCTTTTCTATCTCTTTGATAATTTCATAACTTGAAACAGAATCCTCCATTTCTTTATATCTAAAATGTTTAAATTGGATTATGGGATAGTTTATATTATATACTCTGTATTTTTTGTCAGGTAAGATGTCGACAGACGATGACAGAAAAAAAGCAAATGACGTCCCATACCAATCTATTTATTTTACTAAAAAAAGTTTCTAATATTTTTTAACTTAACTATGGATGGGTTAAAATATAAATCCGTCATGCGTCGTCGTCTCTTGTTGTTTTTAACCAGTTTTATTGGTTTACTTCAAAAATGACAGATCATATATCAATTTTATTGGTTTGACGCTGTTTGACGGAACGATGAACGACAAACGGACGCCGATGCGTATGAACTCGCCTTTAGATTTTTGAGGCTTGTCAAAGTCTTGCCAAATTATAGGTTATAATTTTGTGTCAACTTATGTCAAATATCTGCGTTTTGGAATCGCGTTATTACGTGTGTTTTGTGTCTTTTGAAGTCAAGTGGAGGAAAAATCGAGAGAAAATTAACTGTAGACCCAGAGCACCGGTTTATAGTTTTAATACTCGCTGCCCAGGCAGAAAGTCTTATACACCAATAAAGTTACCATCAATAAAGTTTGTAGACCAATCCAAACCAAACCAAACCATCTCGTCGTAGATAAATGCATCTCGCATATGCTACAAGATCGTACTAAACATATACTACTGGAGTAGCTGTAAAATATCAACATCACACGATAGGTAAATAATCAATTTTAGTACTGCAGAAAACTAATGTTAAAAGGTACTGGTTTAAAAAAATTAAAATTAAAGTTAATTAATCAACATTTATGGTGTTAAATTTGGCAAGTGTTATTATTAATAAAATAGTTTGTTTTATTTATGTTGTTTTATTTATTCCTGTAGAATATTACAAATTTGTATTTGTACATAAGTTATATTGATAAATATAATTATAAATGCGGGAAGTTTCTTGAAGCTTGAAAGTAAGAAATAGTTCTTTTTTATATTTTCTTTGGTATATGGTGTTAACAATATTTTGAAGTAATCACTTATCAGTCAAATTTTAAATATATTAATTTCCTGCTATGCGTTCCAGTTTGACCAACTTATTTCTTTGTAAAATAAAATAAACTACTTTGAAATTAAAATGACAAGCACATCTATCACTGTCAAGGATCTTGTCGTTGGAGAGACTATAGTCACTTAGACCCTACAAGGATTCAAATTATATCATTGGTTAACGCCATCGACTATTTATATCTATGGTATAAGCTATCTGTATCTTTTCATTGTTTTTTAAACAATGTTTTCTCTCTAATAATTGAGATAATATACAGGGTATCCCAGAAATAAGTGCAAGTATTTTCACTAATAGTATAGTTCAACCCTAGAAACACGCCTATGAGGTTTTTTTACGAAAAAAAAAATTGAAAATTCGGAATTTTTTTAGTTTTTAGTTAAAAAAACATAATTTCTTGATAATATGGCAACATAGGTAGTAGATTTAATTTACAAGAAAGAAAATCCAGAAAAGATCCAGCGGTTCTCAAAATTTTAGCAAAAATCATTTTTTTTTGGAAATTTTCAAAGTAAAATAACTCCGTTATTTTGGACTTATTTGAAAAACGACAAAGAGAAAATATGTTTCTTTTATCGAGATCTACCACTCCTTAAAATACTTGCACTTATTTCTGGGACACCCTGTATAGAATAATAAAATTTAATGATCATTATTATTTAGAAATAATAGACAAATTTAATGACGGAAAAAAATCAGGCTACAATTTGGTGTTACAATTTTTTCCAGTTGTCAGATGCTTAAAGCGCGTTGACTCGGTCCAAGTAGCAACTTGGACCAAGTACACGTGGATACTGCCACATACTATATTTCATATCAATTAAACTTTTGGTTACTTAATCGAGGGCACGATTTTTAAATTCATTGTTGCCAACCATGGACATATTTGGTGCCGTACGCCGCCGTGCTGACTAACTGAAGTTTCGCGCTGGGGATTCAGGTGGTAGCTCTGCTGTAAAAAATGTCAAGGTACCGCATTTATTCATTTATTTCCTGACATTATCATTCGTTTTGACACTTTAGTTTTGTATTACGAGGTTTAAATAAATAGTGTTGTGATACTTTAAGCTTGAAAATGTTTACTAGCAGACCTTGCAGTCGAACATTGTTCTTTTTAGAACCTCTTTTAGTGCGAAGGGTACAAAATAGTTTAATAGCCGTAAAAACTCATCGCAACTTTATTAGAATATTTTGAATGGGAAAGCGGTAGTAATGGCCCTTTATGTCCCTTAAGTGCTGTTAAAAAGGTGAGTTTTGTTGATGTAAATAATAGATAACAGTTTATATACAGGGTGGCGCCCCTCATTCGCCTCGGTTGATTATACGAAAACTGAAAGATGTAGAAACAAAATATTTTATGGGTTAATGTGGGGAGGTAATATGGACAATTTAAAATTATTTTGAAATGTACAGGGTGTTTCAGAATTAAGATCCATACCAAAGTTATATTTTTTTTATGGAACACCCAGTATTTTATTGTATTTTTGGATTCTTGGGCCCAAAAAAGGTATTTATTATAAGGGTTAAATATGTTAAAATCTTTGGTTTTTGAGATATTTAAAGATATTTAAATTTGCATGCCACAATAGAATAGATTATTAACACCCTGTACATTACCTTTCAGAATTAATTCTTGTGCTGAGTTTAAAGGTAGAGAAATAAACTTTACAGAAAAATGTTATTCCTGCCTTAAATGTATACAGGGCTATCGAAAATTGCGGGTCCATTTTAAATATTTATTTTACATAAAAACTTCGTTATTTCAAATGCAACACTATGTATTTTTTTAAATAAGCCAAAGCAGATTTAAATGCTCTTTCAAACTATATTATGGTTTCCTATACCTATCTGTCTCAGATTTTGAATAAAAAGCGATTCTTCAATAAAATTGTAATCAAGATGGCTAGTGCTGTCATGGCAAGTTTCTAGTGACAGTTAGTAGCTATTTTCAAAATTGAAATTAGTACTTATTTAAATTTATACCAGTTTACTTTTATTTAATTTACCTACAATAGTTTAATAAATATTTATTAAATATGTTATTTATTATTCTATTAAGGCAAATTCATCTTCTTCACTTCCAACGACAGGTTTCTGCCTAATAGGTTTATTATAAACCCACTACCAGCTCTGCGAAATAGGACAAGAAGTTTTTGAGAGAAACGCTTATCTGGAAGATTCCTATTTAGATATCTTTGAGCATAAGCCCTTGAGGCCAAGAAGCAATTTTCCTCACAAAATAATATCACTAGTAACATATCTATTCGTTCCGCCAGCAGATACTGCTTTATTTTTCTTGATAAAGTAATGAGCACTTGCTTATTAAACTATTGCAGGTAAATTTAAGTAAACTGTTATAGATTATAAATAATGTCCATAAACTAATGTCGACTTTGAAAATAGTTACTAACTGTCACTAGAAAATTGCCATGGCGACACCAGCCATCTTGATTCCAATTTTATTTAAAAATTGCTTTTCATTCAAAATCTGAGCTAGATAGGTATAGGAAACCCTAATATAGTTTAAAAGAGCATTTGAATCTGCTTCGATTTATTTTAAAAAATATAGGGTGTTGCATTTGAAATAACGAAGTTTTTATATAAAATATATCCTTAAAATAGATCAGCAACTTTTGATAGCCCTGTATAAATTTAAGGAACCAATACAATTTTTCAGTAAAGTTTATTTCTCTACCTTTAAACTCAGCATAAGAATTAATTTTGAAAAGTAATGTACAGGGTGTTTAATAGTCTATTCTATTGTAGCATGCAAATTTAAATATCTTTAAATATATCAAAAACTAAAGATTTTAAACATATTTAACCCTTATAATAAATACCTTTTTTGGACCCAAGAATTCAAAAATGAACTAAAATACCGGGTGTTCCTTAAGAAAAAATATAACTTTGGTTTGGATCTTAGTTCTGAAACATCCTGTATATTTCAAAATAATTTTAAATTGTGCACATTGTTTCCCCACATATACCCATAAAATATTTTGTTTCTACTTCTTTCCGTTTTCGTATAATCAACCGAGGCGAATGAGGTGCGTCACCCTGTACATATTTATAATTAATTTATTTTGGTTACCTAAAATAGTTTGATTCAAAGAAAATATATAAAAGTGGGCAACGCTGTGCAGGGCAAACTTAATCACGTGACTAAAAGTTTATTTGGTATGAACTGTATACATATGCATAATGTGCGCAGCACTTTGTACGCATCACTTGCACGCTGCTTGTATAGTTATAGTATTGACTGTTGTGTAGGTGACTTTTTAACATCAAAATTGCATCAAAATAAGCCCTGGCCCTTCCCCTAGGTGGGGAAGTACCCAGTCAGGTGCATTTATGCATTAGCCATGTGCATTATGCATGTATTAGGGGAATCTTCGAAATTATCAAGAAGAGGAAAATAGCCTATTTGGGACACATACTACGTGGAGAACGCTATCACTATCAGCGTCTGATTCTCCAGGGTAAAATAGAGGGGGGCAAAAGGGGAATAGGCCGAAGGAAGCTAGAAATATTCGTCATTGGACAGGCATACAGGACTTCCAAGCACTCCAAGTCGCTGCAATTAATAGAACCATCTGATGAGGAAGAAAAAGATGGACGCCTATGCAGGAATCTGCACGGCACCTTAAGAAGAAGGGGAATCCTCTCTAGCACTTTGCCTAGGTTTAAGGAGTATCTCACTGTCTTGTCTCTGGCTGTAGTGTCGTGGCAAGGGAATTGCACCAAAACATATAACCATGCCGGATGAGATTACCCTGTCCGTCATACCAGGCACTACTGTCTGTGATCATGTATCACGGGCAGGGGGTGTGGGGGAAGTCTTGGCTTAACCGCCCATAAAAATGTTGTGAAACTATTAGTGTGTGTAACAGTTTACTGTAGACAAAAGTGCGCTATAAAATTAGGTATGTGTGTGATAGGCAGTGGTACAGGTTCTAGTTCAGCAACAGGTGCTAAAGAACTGAGAGTCTGTGGTGGCTTTGTGTTTTTGGTGGCTCTTGTGGGTTTGCTGTTTTAACTATAAATAATAAGTCTTAGTCAAGCTTACGCATTTTTTGCTTCCGCTAGAACATCTGGTACTTCCTCCTCCTCGTCAAAGACAAATAAGTCCGATGTAGTTAGGATTAACGAGTATTCACTGTCACTTTCGGATACGCTCACCAAGTACTCATTGTTCGAAGCGGGGTTGTCCATTTTCTTCGATATTTTCTCTGTCAGAACTTCTTCAGTTAAACTAAAAAAAATTGAATGCATTTGAATTTTTTTTAGTTGTAAAACAGTAAGTATATTTTAAATCTTTTTCTCTTCAGCTAAACTACTAATTTTTATTGGGTACATACCGGTGCGTTTTTCACATCACTATACTACTTTTTTTTATTGAAATAACGATGCTATAATTTGTTCTAGCATCCTTAATTTTTGATATAGAGGGCGAATTTGAAAATGTTTTTATCTCGGGGAAAATGTTTTTATCTCTATCAAATACGGGGTGCGTCTCAAAAGTGGCTCACTCACCCTTATAACTTTTTTATTTGTTCAGATAAAAAACTGAGATTTGGTATGTTACTATATGAAATTAATTAGGATTGATTGATATATTCAATTGTTTTCTGTTACTTCCTGTTTCACCGGAAATAACTACAACTTTTGATTTTTAAGCGTAGTTTACACGGGCAAGTAAATTATCGCAAGTATATGTCTGAGAGCACTTCTACCAAACTTGCATAATCTAAACAGTATCCGAAAGCACTCTCTAGCAAGTCACAAAACTGGCGGGGAAGTGGTTGCGGCGCAAGACGCTTGCAAGTGTAAACAGGTTGGGAGAGTGTTCTGGCAAGTTAAAATTTATTTCCGTTTTGTTGAAAGTTTTTGGTGCAAGTGATTCTCGAAGGCGTGTTAAATAACGATATTAAAACGGAGAAACGTATGTGGTCGAAAGAAGATACCATCACTTTGATTAATATATTTGAAGGATTTCCGGAATTGTGGCATATACAATTTTGATATTTTATTCAAAATTAGTTGTAGTAAAAAGTTAAAATCGACTTCTGACATTCGCAAAAAATTATATAAACGCTTTGGGTCTTCATTTCTTAATATATTTAATTAATTACGGCGCTTATAATTCTATATATTATATTCTCTTTTTACGGCGCGACATTTTTCTACTAAACAATATACTTGTGCAATATACACCATACCGTGTATACGTGCATGCAATTTCTTGCTCAAAGCATATCCCTAGAAAATACTTGTTGCAAGAAATTGCTTTAAAATTTGTTTAAATGTAAACACTATCGCAGGTTACTCTAGCAAGTTCTATCTCAATTTTCTCTCCCGAGTAAACTACACTTTAAATGGCACTCTCGGTATTTTTTTACTTCATTCGATAGAAAATGACATTCTGAATAGAATGACATATCATATGTCAAATTTTGACATTTTTGCTTAAAACAAAATTGAATTTTAAATTTCAATCTAGAGTGCCATGGCTGTGTTAAAAACACTAATTTTTAATCAAGGAGCCTTGAAAAAATAGATTTGATCGTCTAATGTTTTTAGTGTCTTGTCCTGGCCAGTTAGAAAATGCTCTAATCGTATTTTTAATCATATCTCAATTTTTTCAAATGGAACGAGGGTGGCTCATTAGCATATTTGGATAAAGCATTTTTTTACGAATAATTTGGTACCACACACTTGGTATTTCGAGTCAAATGTCGTTATGAATAGCATGTTGCAATTTCTAATAAACCATATTCGAAAATATCAAAGTTGACATATTAGATGATATGTTATTATATTCAGAGTATCATTTTCTATCGAATAAAGCAACAAAAAACCGAGGGTACCATTTAATAATCAAAGGTAGTAGTAATTTCCGGCAAAACAAGTGACAGAAAACTTGAATTGAATACGTCAATCAATCCTAATTTATGTCATATAATAACATACCAAATCTCAATTTTTTATCAGAAAAAATAAAAAAAGTTATAGGGGTGAGCCACTTTTCAGACGCACCCGGTATATCTTATTACAATTTATAAAAAATTTGAAAACCTTTGAGTGAAAACTGAGCTGCATAGAGCATTTCACGTAGAATCCAGTGATGTAACTCGTTATTCGTTGGGAGCTGTTATTTTCGAAATAGGACTCAAACTTATGTTTTTTAAAGGGGACACTATATATTATTATTTTTTTATTTTATTTGCATTGTTATGAGCTTTCTAAAAATATAATATACTTTATATATATTTTCATAAACAAAGTAAAAGAATGCATTATTTAACTGTTTAACATAAATCAACCTAGTTTAAAAGATTATTAATATTTTATTTACTTTAATACTTTTGCTTTTTATCCTGTTATTTTAATAAACTGCACTTATTTTTAATAAATTGCATTTAAATACACAGTAATTTAAAATGCTACTTTAGATATGACGACGAAATCAATCAGAGAGTCAATAACAAAAATTTTATGTCGAATTTAACGTCAAATGAGTGAAAATGAAACACCCTGTACACTTATGTGAACGCAACAACTTATATGAACTTATTCGATGCGGAAGAAATTAAATTTGTACTTACTCTGTTGTCGATTGCAATACGTCAATTTGACTGTGGACTTCTAGATCTATAAAATCCTCCTCGTTTCGCGTTCTCAAACCGTTGAAAGGGGCAAGTTCAAATTCTTCGTTCAGTACTTCGTAGTTGACAGCTTCGTTTAAAATCATGACAGCCACTGCACATCCTCCGTATTCTGCCACTATTATTTGGCGCCCTACATACAAATTAATAAATGTTAAATGTAAAAACGATAACGTTATTCCATTTTGTAGGTGTTTAATTGTAACCCTATCAACAGCAGAAAAAAACTGTTACTACAAGAGATACCAAATAAACCAATGACTAAAGAATATAAGGACATGTAACGCCCCTATACGGGCTGCAGCAGAATTTGTGACCTTTTTTGTTGTTGTTTTGGTGGCAAACAATGACTCATCATTTGGTCACCAGCGACAATTTTAGCGATTTTTAATAGTTTGTGTGTAGTAAACTTTGTATAAACTTTATTATAATGGTGATTAGTTGTTCAGCTTTCAAGTGTAAAAGCAGCAGCGATAAAAAAGAGCCAGGAGTTACGTTTCATAGGTAAATAAACAGTTCACTCCAACCTTTTAGCGTTTTCTTATTGAATTCGATAATTATTCTTCAATTTCAATTAATATCTATATGTACTTGATATGTGCTATACGTCGATACTAGTTTTGCACTTTTTGTTAACATTTTAATACGTTTTTTTCGTAATTAATTAGTATGATACACCATAGGCGTAATTATAACAATTATCAAAAAATATAAATATTGCTTCAAACAGCTAGGTTAAGAAAAATATGTGCCACGGCACTGTTTGATGGCATCGTCACAATTTGCTCTCGGGTGTTATTTGTCCTTGGATTCTTTAGTCATTGAAATAAACTTTTAGTTACGTCATCGAGGGCGCGATTTTAAATGCATTGTTGCCAACCATGGACATATGCGGCGCTCGGGCCGATTAACCGGAATTTAAATTTCCCGCTGGCGATTCAGGTGGTAGCTCTGCTATAAATATGCCAAGTTGCCATATTTGTTTATTTATTTCCTGACATTTTGAATAGTTTTGTATTACGAGTTTTTGGTTTAAATGATGCATTGTGTTGTGATACTTTAAGCTTAAAATGTTTACTAGCAGACCTTGCAGTCTAACATTGTTCTTTTTGGAACCTCTTATAGTGCAAAGTGTACAAGATAGCTTAATAGCTGTAAAAACTGATTGCCACTTTACTAGAGTATTCTGAACGATAAAGCGGTAGTAATGGTCCTTTATGTCTTTAACTGCTCTCAAGGAGGTGACTTTTGTTGATGTAAATAATAACTGTTTATTTTATAATTAATTTATTTTTGTTTCCTAAAATATTTTGATTAAAAAAAAGTGGTAATTATTGGGAAAACTGGAAATCGTCAGATTTTCACCAAAATTGGTATACACCTTATTTTGAGGTCGTAGATTACGTATCTGAACTTTTTTCTTGGCGGTCTCTTACCGTTTTTCAGAAAAACGGAAAATTATTTCAACATCGAATTTTTCTTAATTTCTCATATTTTTAAGGTTTTCTAGCACATATTTTGTAAGGTATTCAATAAACAATGATGTTATTGCTATTTTCTGTTACTTTTTTAACCAATTCTATGCATAATAGAGGAAAATTTGCTAAAATAAATTTGTAAACAATCTGATAATGTCGGGTTATGTGTTTCTGGCATTTATAGCAACGTTGCCAATGCTAAACCTAAATTTAGCGTGTTTTTTCGCTCATTCTGGGATTATGAAAGGCGGTCGCCAGAAGAACGGCTCCTTCCCATAATTGCTATTTTACCAATGAGATCTGACTATTTATAACCACGAAGTTGCACGAAAGAGTTTTGATTGCATTGGTTACAACTTCCATGCGGAGGGTGTTAATCTTTTGTTGTTATATTATATCAAAAAATATTAACCCCTTCCGCAAAGAAGTTAAAAGCAATGCAATCAAAACTCTTTCGTGCAACTTCGTGGTTATAAATAGTCTATAGAACTTCTAAAAAAGATTAACCCCCTCCGCATAGAAGTTGAAACCAATGCAATCAAGTCTTCCGCGTAACTTTGTGGATATAAGTAGGTACCGTATGATCGAATAAAAATGGCGTCAGCGATGGCTATGAAATGAAGATCGCTGTCATTTTAAATGTAAAATTATATGGGAACTGTCATCGATCGTCATTTCCAAGCCAACTGGACGCCGTTTTTTTTCAATCATACGGTATATTTAACTATTGTCGATCTCATAATAGGTAATTTATTTAAAATCCCTAATCACCCGAAAAAATAGAAGATATGGCAACGTTGTAAATTTTCAAATTTCTAAATTAGGTCTAGAATATATTTGTCTCTCTCATTACATAGGAGAGAGAAAGAAGGATATATCAAATGTCAAACTTCCATCTGGTCTCAATTTTCTTTGTTATTTTGTTAAGAAAAGTGTTTTTCAGTAAAATTTTGGACATTTTTCTATCCCCAATCAAGTGTAGCTTTTAGATAAACTATAATATAATGAAAATATAGTGAAATGATTACTTTATAGGGCCGAAATAAAGAAAAATTCAATGTTGAAATAAATTTCCGTTTTTCTGAAAAACGGTAAGAGACTGCCAAGAAAAAAGTTCAGATTCGTAATCTACGACCTCAAAATAGGGTGTATACCAATTTTGGTGAAAATCTGACGATTTCCAGTTTTCCCAATAATTAATTACCAAAAAGGTATGTAAAAGTGGGCAACGCTGTGCTGGGCAAGCTTAATCACGCGAGTAAGAGTTTACTTTATATGATCTCTATACGCGTCGATTTACGCTCAGAAAAATAAGTTCATTTAGAGAGGTTCTAATATACACAATGATACACATATCAATGATGCTATTTATATGAACATACGAAAGTACCAAAATGCCATTCGTGAAATACGAAAATCGTCCAGCGATCGTAAGTTGTTTACAGGGCAAACGTGCCAGTCTTCTATAAAGATCCATTCGTGGAAGGTTGTACACCTCTGTTGTACACTAATGTGCCAAATATTACGACATTAAAAGACAAGTGACAGTAATTAATTGTGGCACTCATGTCAATATCTCTTCACGGAGTTTGCGAATATTTACTATTTTACGTCTTTTGATCAGATATTTCTAATTTACTTGCGAGTCATTACTGCATATAAAAATTGAATTTATATTTATTTAATTATGGTTTTGTAATGTATATGAAGTTAATAATTATAATCATATACTAAAATATATTTTAAAAAATATAACAATTAAACATTCGAACTTTTTTGCAGCAAAGCTTATAATCGGAAGTCAATCAATATTTTCTAATGCGAGAATAGTGCAAACGTGCAGACTTCCGATTATAATCTTGGTTGCAAAAAAAAGTTCGAATGTTTAATTGTTACATTTTTTTAATATATTTTAGTATATGATTGTAAAAATTAACTTCATAACAAAACCATAATTAAAATAAGTATAAATTCAATTTTTATATACAGCAATGACTTGCAAGTAAATTAGAAATGTCTTTATAGACGACTGGCACGTTTGCCGTGTAAACAGCCTACGATCGCTGGACGATTTTCGTTGTTCACGAATGGCTTTTTGGTACTTTCGTAGCTCACGAAAGTGTGAGACAAGATCGTGCTTCACTACCCGTGCTTTATGGTGTCTCTAAATTTTATTTATTTCTTCAATATTTTAACGATCTGGAACATGATTTAAGTATTCACTAATACGAGGGTTGTCTTTTATATTTTGCATTTAGAGGTAGAAAAAACAGTAGATAATTTTCAAATACTATTGTTTTTCGAAGTATTCTCCACGAAGAAAAATGACAGTCATTTTTGCACCCGTAACTGAAGATGACTGTTAATTTTGACATTTGATATATGTCGACAGGTGCCATACTTTGTTTCTATATGCAAAATATAAATGACGTCCCTCATAACTATATTCAAACCTGAGTCTTTGTGCCTTGTTAATATTTCGGCGATATAGTACTCTCCATAAAGCTCAGTTAGTCTCGTAGAATACAATGCTATCAGCGGTACCAAATCGTCATTGTCTTCTTCTACTGCTCTTCGTATTTTATATTTTAACATAAATGAGTCTCTAGTGATGAGGTATAACTTTTGACTAGACGTTGGATTTCTGCAATCTTAGTAGATAGTTTAAATACAAAACTTGAGAATTACTTAGATACTATATTGATTTAAACAAGAACAATCTTCGGATTGTCACGGGGTTTTTAACTGAAAAGACTGTTATTTCCTCATTGAACATTCCAGTAGATTGATGTTTCTTAGCTGTTTCTTAACAATGGCGTATGCAGATTCTGTGGGAAGATTGGGAAACGCCTCATCACTGAGTGCGCCGGGACGACAACCATTCGTGCAATAAACTTTGGTACAACTGATATCGAAGGGGAACTAACCTCTATAAAACCGTGTCAGATAGTGGCTTTTGTCAAGGACCTAAGACTGTATGATGAGTTATAACTCAAGAAAGGAGTACACAATAGATTTATAAGGTCGTCTTATAATTGGTTTGATTGCAAAATTATGCAAAATCTTTATTAAAAACGTGATATTAATAAAAGTTGACAGACAAATGGTAAGTTTAGTAAGATGACTCTTGTTCGATTTATAAAAAAATATTGTATTTAATCATAAAATTATAGTCTCCCCTAAACAGCTTAGACGCCTTGGTGCATTCAAGTTATAGTTTGCTATAATACTGGAGCCATTCGGTAAACAAGGAAGGTAATGAGGATTCAACGTGGCAAAATCAATATAGTCTGAGAGCAAACAGGTACGAAAACAACAAGAACATCCTGGCAAGATTATTCAAACTCCAAAAAGGAAGCACAGAACTTCTAAATACAGATATAAATCTAGTGCTTATGTTGACTGCAGACTACAGTGCATACACTAAGTGTTAAAGATTAAGATGATACATGCAGGGAATGGATATTGGACGTGTGAACGCTGACGAGTGCTGATATTGGATAAGAAATTAGATTTGAGCTTTTTGAGTAAAACATATATCAATGCAATCTGGAATATGTACAAAAATCCAAAAAATATGATCAGACAGGGGAAGTTCCAATCGGAATCCTTCCTGACATCAAAAGGACTCAGACAGGGGTGCAGTTTATCACCTACCTTATTTAAAATATATATCCAGGAGGCATTGAAAAACTGGAGAAAGAAGAGTAGAGCTATGGGAATTGAGATTGACAACCACTGTCTATTGACTTTGTTTTTTGCAGACGAACCTGGTCGTAAGTTTAACCAGGTTATCATTGCAGATTGTGAGGAGGATACCGACTATATGTTCAGGAAACTTGAGGAAGAATACGATATATGGGGACTCAATATCAACCTCACAAAAACCGTTTTCAAACAAAAAGTTTTCAAACAAACTGAAGATTCTGAACTACACATACATGAAATTAAAAGGTGTAACGAATATAAATATTTAGGAAGTATTATATCTGAAGAAGGGAACTCCAAGACAGATGATATACATAGCAGGGAACAAGGGAACAAGGGAAGTTCAACAGGGGAAGAAAGTAATCGGTCTTTTAAACCCTCTCCTGTGGTTAAATAAAACATCCATCCAAACAAAGCTAAGGATTTACAAAGCCATCGTAGAGCCAATTTTAACATACGGTGCCGAATGCTGGCAATTTACATCAAAAGAAAGAAGGATGGTCGAGTCAGTGCAGATGGACTTTCTCAGAAGAGCATGTCGAATATCAAGGATGGAGCATATTAGAAATGAGGAGATCTACAAGTACGTGGTTAGATGGCCAAATCAAACCAGGAAGAATGGCAAAATCGAACAATATGGAGGTCGAACTGCGGGATGCGGCAGAAGCTGTAGGACCCCCGCTTTATATATATATAAATAGATTTGAGCACATTATATGTACAGGATGTCCCATTTCCGTGCGTTTTACAGGGTTTCTCGTTCATGAGTACAGATACAAAGTTTTGGTTTTCACATGACTGTGCTACTTTTTTTTATGAAACTAAAGATAGTACATACAGATTTGTCCTAGGTGCACCATTGTGACTTCTACGTAAAATTCTAAGGAGGTCGAAAAATGCAACATTTTTAAATTTGCTTTGTATTTCAGAAACCTAGAGGGCTAGGAAAAATCTGTGTATAATAACTTTAATTTCATATAAAAGTAGCACTTTTGTGTGAGTCTGTCCTAATATGTCAATGTGTCCTAGTTATACCTTTGGGATATATCTTCGTGGCCACATCTTCCAGACACTCTACTATACCCGCCTCAGGTGGCACAACCATGAAGATATTGTTGATGTGTTCGTAAAAATTGAACACGTGTTGTATAATAGGTTTGAGGAATATCGTTTCGAATTTTGCTTCGAAAACGAAGAGGTGGATCCAGAAGGTATCTCTAGTGCTTGACTCTGATATTTCTAAACGAAATTAAAATATATTTTTATTTATCAATCTAATGTCATTAATCGAGACTGGTGCTCTTACTAAAAGCATGTGTACAAGAATAAACGCAGTATGACTGATAAACAAGTAAAGACCGACTATATAAAAGCTGTAAATAGTTTTTACCGTAAATGTTGTATAACCAATGGTTCCATTCCCACGGTGGTATGGCAGGTATGTTTGGGCAATTATGGAACGTTATGGCGGCAACAAGATGGTTATGCTCATCCTCAACCCCAAGACTTAGATAGCGGGTATGCCTGCAAAGAATATAGATATAAAAAAATGATGTGTGCACTATTTATGCATATTTGAATTGAAACTTCTTACTAAAAGCTGACGAATTGAAGGATTTGGAGGACATGTTTGAAAAAGTGTAGTTTGAAATGTTGAAAAAGTAATGAATTAAAAATTAATAAATAATTTGAATCGCTTTCACAAAATTTGTATTAAAATGACGTCTGTCCGTTTATCCGTCTGACGACTCCATTCGGGTACCTCTATCTACGTGGCGAATTTGGTTCAAATCGACCCAGAATTAAGAAAAATCCTGATGATTTCGTCCATTTAGAGGCATCGGTTCGAAACGTCGAATGCGTCATCCTGTAGCCCGTCCCGAATTATGCCGAAATCGACTTACATTTTTCTTCAATATCAAATCCTTAGTCCCAACCTGATGAAGATGTAAACGAAATGTCATATCCAGCTTTGCAGGGTGGGACCGTATGCACCGTTGCACGTTGCACACACGGCAAAATGATATGTTTAGCTTGACGAAAATCCAGATTAATTTTTTAACGTCTGTAAAAATATTGTTGAAATTTCCATACTTGGATTGCTAAAGATTTTATTATTGTTAGAAATGAATACGGTCCCTTTAAATTTGCGCTTTTTCCAATGGGGTTCTTTGTGGACAACCCGGGCTTCCGACCATTTTATGTTGTGGTGCTTGGATCACACTGGATCACACACTATCTGCAATGGCCGACTACATTGTTTCACCTCTTTACGTATGTTTTTTAAGTTCGTTGAGTTGTAAATCTAGAGGACGTTTTGTCCCTCCAATATACGACTCACCGCGCACTCGCAAGGTACCTAGTATAATAAAATAAAGGCGTCCAAATGCACTAGCAGACCAAGAAAAATGTTTATATTCGAAAGAAAAAAAAAGAAAGTAAGTTCTTAAGTTCTTACAATATTTCTTCTACGGATTCAATTGGCCCAAATATTTCTTCAGTTCTATTATCCACCATTTTTGCTATGTTTTTCGTTTGTTCTAAGTCAATTCTTTTTACGCATTTTGGCGAGAGTATAAATAATTTTGATTTATCAAGCGATGGCATTGATTTGGTACTGAATTTGGGCAGCGATCTCAACGATCGGGTGAAAAGAGTCTGGCTTTTATCCATTTTAGAAAGTTTTTTACCAGAAATATCAGTAAAATTATGGTAAAATTACATAAATATATTCACTTTTTCACTAATAGATGTCAAAAACGACAATGATGTCATTTATGGATGTCAGTTTGTCAGTAGACAGATGGCAGACAGCTAGATCTATAAATTTACAGTTTTTACCTTTTCTATGTTTTACGAGTAATTTTTTTTTTGAATCAACTATAAATAAAAAAAATAAAGGTCTTCAAAGTCGGAATCTTGTAAGCTTAATTGACACTGTCCAAGTTTACTTGGACCAAGTTAACCGGATGCTTTCATCCAAAAAGTATAGAGTTGCATGGCTAGAAAATATTTTTCTAGCCATGCACTGTCCAAGTTGCAACTGACACCAAACTGACACTGTCCATGTTTACTTCGACCAAGTCAACGGGATGCTGCCATACAAATATATCTACGGTTCATATCAAACTGATATCAAATAAACTTTTATTTATGTACGTCATCGAAGACGCGATTTTTAAATTAATTGTTGCCAACCATCTCTATTGGTTTCCTGCTTTGAATAAGAAGACTAAGGAAGGAGCATATAAAAAATCTTAGGTACACCGCGATGGGCCTCAAATATGGCCGACTTAAATTCCGGTCTTTGTTTCCTGAAAGTTTTTTTATTACGGAACACGGTTACTGAAAAATTCGGTTATAACTGTCACCATACTAAACAGCGCGAGAAGGCTGGTTTTTCTGGTTTTGTTTGTCAATCAATGTCCTTTATGTGACAGAAATCAAGCAAATATTGGAAGTTCGAGTGAAATTCTCATTTAATTTCTAAAATGTATAATATTATTTTGTATTTACATCCAAAAGCAATGGATGTAGACAGTAAAGGTAAATAAATTTCATTAACGAAATAGAATGACTTTTTAGGACCATTTAAATTATCATGCAGCCATTGTTTCTTAAAGTCAGGAACATTTAAAGAAAACAAGAAAAACAAGACAAGTAATTGTGAATGTTTTGTAAGCTATAAAAATATAAATATTGATTAGATTTGTTTATTTATTATTGATCTGTCTGTTAATATTGGACCTGCATATCTTCACTTGAGCTGTCTAACGAGTTTAACAGTTTATTAATAAAGTACTTTTCAATGTTAAACTCCATTGAAAAAAAGAAGCAAACGTAAAAGCAGAGAATAGGTATATTAAAAATGCATAAAATATAAATTTTATAATAGGGGTATTGAAATTTAGAAAACGTCAACATTTGACGTTTTCAGTATTTTATTAAACCGTTCCGTATCAAACCGATGTTTTTCAGGAACCGCTCTTTACCGTAGTTTACCGGTCTGGTTCGCCTGGTTTTGCAACGGAATACAGCCTAAGTGGAATTTAAATTTTCCGCTTCAGGTAGCAGCTCTGCTGTAAAAATTGTCGTTGCCGCATTTATTTATTTATTTCCTGACATTGTCATTCGTTTTGCCACTTTAGTTCTTTATTATGAGTTTTTGCAAAATGAAACTCTAAATCACCACAATACACCAAAACACTTTTACTTTTACACTGGACGCGCGTTTCGCTAACCATTTTAGCATTATCAGCAGATTATTAAGACTCAGTCTTAATCATACCTTTACACTGGATGCGCGTTTCGCTAACCATTTTAGCATTATCAGCAGATTATTAAGACTCAGTCTTAATCATCTGCTGATGATGCTAACATGGTTAGCGAAACGCGCATCCAGTGTAAAGGTATGATTCCGAAGACGGCGACAGCGACAAGCGACCGCGACAGACGACAGCGACACCTGTCGTTACTGTGTTGCGCCTCCACCGATCTTTTAAAATCAAATGGAGTAACGTCGGTGTCCGACGACAGGTGTCGCGCGACAGTTTATCTCCAACAAGTCGTCTAAGCGACCGACGACGGTACCGGTATTTGTCCAGTAGTGTCACGTCGTCATTCATATGCACACGCAGATTTTTGAAAAAAAATGGATTTTACCGGGGAGGAAGAAGACAAATTAATTAATTTAGTATGTAAATATCCTACTCTCTATGATACTAGAGTGGAGAATCTAAAAGTCGTCTCAACGCTGAATAAATGTTTTTTTATGAGTAAGGAGCACCTTCCTTCCCTATGTCTGTTTTTAAACAGAGGTAAAATGGGTTTTCTTCTATTCTTTGCAACAAGTAACAGTAATATTTCGTCCTCTTCATCATCTTCCATCAGTAATTGAAGCAACATATTTTTATCAATCACGTAATCAGACATATTTATTAATTATTATTACTACTTCGCTTCGCGAACGTCATTTAAACACTGACAACTACCTGTCGCGGTCGCTTGTCGTTGTCGCCGTCTTCGGAATCATACCTTTATTCTAAAAGATCGGTGGAGTCGCAACACAGTAACGACAGGTCTCGCTGTCGTCTGTCGCGGTCATTTGTCGCTGTCGCCGTCTTCGGAATCATACCTTAAGCGACCGACGACGTTACCGGTATTTGTTCAGTACTGTCGTGTCGTCATTCATATGCACACGCAGATTTTTGAAAAAAATGGATTTTACCGGGGAGGAAGAAGACAAATTAATTAATTTAGTATGTCAATATCCTACTCTCTATGATACTAGGTTTTCTTCTTTTCTTTGCAACAAGTAACAATAATATTTCGGCCTCTTCATCATTTTCCATCAGTAATTCAAGTAACATATTTTTATCAATCACGTAATCAGACATATTTATTAATTATTATAACTACTTCGCGAACGTCATTTAAACACTGACAACTACATCGTAGATCTCGCTCGTATTGTCGCCGACATCGACAATGTTATGACGACAGCGATAAGCAACACTGTCGCCTGTCGTTGTCGTCTGTCGCGGTCCCGTGTCGCTGTCGCCGTCTTCGGAATCATACCTTAAGAGTAAAAGTGTTTTGGTGTATTGTGGTGATTTAGTATTTTATTTTTTTGTGTAACACCAAATAAGGTTCCAACCCCCAACTGTAATGAGTTTTTGGTTTAAATAAATAGTGTTGTAATACTTTAAGCTTAAAAATGTTTACTAGCAGACCTTGCACTCGAACATTGTTCTTTTTAGAACCTCTTAATAACCGTAAAAAACTCATCGCAGCTTTATTCGAATATTTTGAATGGGAAAGCGGTAGTAGTAGTAATGACCCTGTATACCTCTTAAGTGCTGTTAAGAAGGTGAGTTTTGTTGATGTAAATAATAACTGTTTATAAATTTATAATTAATTTATTTTTGTTTCCTAAAATATTTTGATTAAAAGAAAATAAAAGTGGGCAACGTTGTGCCGGTCAAGCTTAATCACATGACTGAAAGTTTATTTGGTATGAACTTTACTTATGAACTGTTTTATCCCTAGATCATATAGGGTTTTATCAAAGTCGAATTTGAAGGATTCATGGCATACAAGTTAGTTGGTAGCCAACCTAGTTACTTTGATGTTAAAAAGCCTTTTCACTCGATTTAGATGAAACAGTCAATACTATACAAATAGCGTACAAGTGAGACGCGCGCAGCATCATTATAAGTACAGTTATGTTATAGCAGCATCTCAGTGTACATAGTGTTTTCATAGTGTACTTGGTCCAAGTACACTATAATTGATATATTTGATTTTTAAATATATATTTTTTGTTTCAGTTGAGTTTGGGTGTGGAAAATGGCATCCTCCAGTCCTACAACATGGATTTCGAACTGCAGTTCTCCCACAGAGTCAACCAGATTTCCAGATTTTCACAGGCAGATCTGGATGCTTGCACCTTCCTATATCTTCTCAGAGATGATTCAGATAATTTATTGTACTGCTATCTATTTCAAGCACAAAAAGTGAAAGATGTGAGTACCTTATTTAGTTATTTAGACTTTATAATTGTTAGCGGCCGGCCGTACCTCCAGCGTTAAGGTGTACGCGCACTGAATCGGTACCAGTCCGGCGAGAAACGGCGAAGGCGGTGACTCGACTATCGTAGATAGGTAGAGGTAGGAATCTGGCCTCTACAGGCCGAAATGTTTTAGTGGACGCCGGCGCCGTCTATATGTACGATGGTCGCAGTCGCTTTTGCTGGTCGGTCCGATCTGATGCAGTGCGCGCGGAGCCTTAACCCTTAACTGGTCCGGTAATAGATATGTATCATAAACGGTCCGGCGTAGTCTGTGGGACTACGCCTTCTAAAAAGTTAAAAAAACACACAAAAACTAAAAAATAACAAATTTTTATTTCATTATATATTATATTATGTATTATTAAACTAATCTAGACAAAAATGGGTTCAATTAATATAAACTTTCAGAAACTATAGTATAAAATAAAATAGCATACATATAAATTTGGAAAAAAAACAATATAGGTTTTTACTAAGCTCTAAAAATAAAACAAAATTACTAACAGTCATTACAATATAGAAATAAGTGTTTAATACTATTATGTAAAAAAATAAGATTTATTTATTTATTATTGATCTGTCTGTTAATATTGGACCTGCATATCTTCACTTGAGCTGTCTAACGAGTTTAACAGTTTATTAATAAAGTACTTTTCAATGTTAAACTCCATTGAAAAAAAGAAGCAAACGTAAAAGCAGAGAATAGGTATATTAAAAATGCATAAAATATAAATTTTATAATAGGGGTATTGAAATTTAAGTTATAAAACTGGAGTTAAAGGAAATGTTTTTAGTTACAGCATGAGGCAAATTTCATTGTTTTCCTGACATGTTTTACACAATGGATTCGCACATTCTAGGCAATAAAAATAATTAACTAGGACATAACATTGTCTTTGACTAGGATAAGAACTCTAGGATAAAAATATCTCCGTGGGCGTCTTCTGGTTGTACAGGAATTGCAAGTATTCTACCAATTGTAAAGCATATATCTCGTGGAATATTTGACATTGTCAAACGAATTTGTCTGGCAGATTGTCATATTGTGACTGCCACAGTTCTTATCATATCATTTTAATAGAGTTTCCTCATAACTAGAGTCTCCTAAAGATACTCTTTTCGAAGACCGGGTCATATTTTACAAAAATTTGTCCCACATAAAATTTTACACAAACGGTCCGGCGTCGTCTGTGAGACTACGGCTTCAGTAACTTCTTCCAGTACTTCTAAAAAACTAATCCAATTTGGGAACAAATATGGCTATCAGTTGTTGACCTAGAGGAGCAGGATTAGCTAGAACGCCAATCGTGTGGGCGGTCCCAGTAACTAATGAGACTGAGTTAATTATTTGGCGTAGTCTGTCAGACGACGCCGGACCAGTTAAGGGTTAAAAAAAAATGGATAATCCCTAAAGTGGATATTTTAAGAAAAATTTGAAATGTTGAAGTTAATAGTGAAAATAAATATAGTGTTATATATTTTCGAAAAGCCCATGCCAAGCTGAATAAGAAAATTTAAAAATATTCAGGGGGTTCTATTTAAAAAAACATAATTATAGTTAATATCTCAAAAAATTTTTTTTTCGAAAAAAGTCTGACTACGCATTCTACATAGAAAAGTGCCTTTAGAATGTATAATTCATTTTTCCGTGGTTGCTGAAATAAACAAACTATCGAACATCTTCAAAAAGTACAAAATTTGAGAATCCCCCTGTAGCTTCGAAACCGATCAAGATAGCCACGATCCGTTTGCGCCATTGTAATTTTTTCAAAAAAAAGAACCCGAGACTGCAGTATCAAAATTTGAATATTTCTCACGGTTTCCTAGATACCCTATAGAAACAACCAAAATGGTCCACCCTGTACAAACAAACAAAAAACTTGTAAAAAATACTCTAATACTTTGTATTGCCTCCCCGGGCTGCGATAACTGTCTTAGCCTAAGAGCTGACGACATATTTAGAGAACATATTTTAGGCAAGCTAGAATAACTAAAAATGTATAGTTTATTAACTGGGGAACCCAGAAGTCTGGCTGGGGGGTTGGGGGTATTTCGCTACTGCGCAACCCATAACATTTGCAAAAAAATAAATCCAAAAAACATTCTTTAGGCAACTTGAAATTTGTTTATTCTTAAATTTTAGCATCTATTTAACCTAGAAATAAGTGTGCCAGACTTTTTTCTTGGGGTTTAAAGTGTAACCAGACCATTCCAAATATGTTTAATTATTATACCTGGAAAACATACTTTAGGCATTCTAAAATTTTTACAGCGTGTTTATTAGATGATATTAAAAAATATGTGTTAATTGCCAGACGAATTCAATGGGATTTAATACTTGCCAGACGCGAATAAAGATTTTAAATGCACTTCGCACTTCGAGCCTGGCAAGTATTAAATCCCATTGAATTCGTCTGGCAATTAATACATATTTTTTAATATCATCTAATAAACACGCTGTAAAAATTTTAGAATGTCTAAAGTATGTTTTCCAGGTATAATAATTAAACATATTTGGAATATGGTCTGGTTACATTTTAAACCCGAAAAAAAAGTCTGGCACTCTTATTTCTATGTTAAATAGATGCTAAAATTAAAACTAAAGAATGTTTTATGGATTTATTTTTTTGCAAATGTTATGGGTTGCGCAGTAGCGAAATACCCCCAACCCCCCAGCCAGACTTAGGATTCTGGGTTCACAAGTTATTAAACTTTATTTTTTTGTTATTCTAACTTGCCTAAAATATGTTCTCTAAATACATCGCCAGCTCTCCGGCTATCTGTAGACATCGCGCGTCGGTTCATACTGTCACAGAATATCTAGCTACACATTAGCTATATTTTTTGTGATACTGTTAATGAATTGTGTTGTGATTTCTCATTCTTCTTCAAGGACTAAGCGAATATTCATAATTTCGGCCATCTTCAACAAGATCAATGACTGCACAATCTTCAACAATAAGACCCATATTCAATCGTACACGACAATAATAACCAAAACCACCTCGTCATTATGAAGAATAAGATCAAAAAGTGACGATAATTGAAAAAAATTTAAAATGTTCTGGCAATAAGTTCCTTTTGGTCTTAAAAATTAACCAAGACATGTGCTGACCTGTGGCAAAAAAACAAAGTATGCAGGAGACATGGTTCTGGTCGAAAAATAATCTTATAGGAAAATTTGCTCACAAAATTATTGCACAAGGTCTTTTAAAGATAGGATAAAAAACAAATCTTCCATTAACCCTGTATAATAAGCCAAATACTAAAGTTTACAATAAACTGAGTTTACGAATTAAAGTGTAGTATGTAAGTTGAGTGTATTTTTTAGTTGCAATTTGGTGCATTTATCAACAATTAAGTGTAAAAATACAACTGACTATGGTACCTGTTTACGACTGTGCCTGTTGTTATTATGCAACGGACAATAACAATTAAACGTTTACCAATTTATATTGCATTGTGTCCGATTCTCGGAAACCTTTTGTCGGTTTAATTAATTTCAGATGTTTTCGGATGACGATCGATGACCTTGGCCTTGTTTCGATCAAGTTAACCGAACGCAAATTCGTCAATTACTTGCGTAAACAGTTCGAAGGCAATCATTTGAATTTTATTAGCTTCTATCTATTTTAATATTGTTTATTAGATGTTGGAACTCTTAAAAAACGATTTATATAATCTAAGCCCATGGCCATACAGGAAGCGAGATTTAGTGTGTAAAGGGTTTAAAGTAGTAGTGGGAACTATCGAATGAATATTATCGAAACATTCGATAGTTGCAATTCATTCGAATAATTCGATAGCTAGTAAGAAAACATTCGTCGAAAACTATTCGAATAAAAAATATCGAATAGATGCATCATCTGCCTTGAAATATTGTATTCTAGTAATTCGGCAGCAAAAACCATTCATTTATAAAATTCATTCATTTATCAAATTCATTTATTCGTCAGGATCGATTTTAATGAAATATAAACTGGATTTTAGTTGTCGTCCGGCGACGTAGGTTTCTTTCCTAGAAACCCGACAGCGGTCGGTGGCAATGCTATGAAAGAAGCTGGCATCTTTGATTTTTTGCGGAGTCAAATAAAGATAAGGACACATTATTTTTTTTATTGAGCTGCTAGTATTTACACAAAATACATTATGAAGGGCGCTGTTGCCATATATTCGTATTAGTTGGTATTAGCAAAGAATATTATTCTTTAGCATTAGTTAGTTAGGGATAGTATGTCTAATGTTTTGCATTTTTTTTTATTAATATTCTGTTATTACACTGCAATAATACTTTTTATTTTGGATGTAGGAAAATTATTTTTAATGTTTTTAAGCAAAGACTGGTTTAATAAATAAATTATAATAATAAATAATAATAAATAAATAATAACAGTAATAATTTGTTATACCTATTAACAACAAAATTTAAAATCATTTAATAATATAAACATTTTTTATAAGTAGTAGCAAAATATAAACAACAAATAGAAGTCAAAAGTATTTATATTATTTATTATTATCCTATCTAAAAATAATATAGTCTTTAAATGGCAACGTTGGTTTATTAAATAATAATAGTTGCAGAACTAATTTGTTATATTAACAACAAATTTTAAAATCATGAAATATAAACATTTATTAATTTACTAAGCATGCCGTGTAATGGAAGGAAAATATAAATAAAAAATTAGAAATCAAAATTATTTATATTACTTTTTATTATTTTATATTACTATTTAAAAATAATATTTACTTTTACTGGCATTTACTTTAAAAAATAAATGAAATATTTCTTCAAATCAAAAAACTACATGTAAGAGAATTAGCATAAACAAAACACAAACATTGTTAACTTTTTTTTGAAATTGGCACGTGTAAAACTTTCAATTTAATTTTCTCACCCCAAAATTTGAGTTCAATAACCCCATTTACTTAACCACATTACTTAAATATGATTATTAAGTTCATCTCATCTCTCTTAAAAATTGTTACTTCTCAAAATTTCCCATTAAAAAAATGCAATCTAACCTAACCATAATATACCATATAAAATTAAATAATTGAAAGATCGGGCTACGGAAAATTACTCAAATTTTCGGAAAAATTTTGACCACTTCGCACACAATCGTCAATTAAAAAAAACCTACTATTTTAGTATTTTAAATATTTTAATAAACGCAAAAATAGCATAGTAGCTACAAGGCGAAGTTATAAAAATTTGGAAGAACTAATAATGCACTGACGCACACAAAAATCAAACGAATACTAAATTTCATTTATCAAAAACATTCGATAGTCGTGGCTCGTGGCTCAACGATAACCATTTAATCGCACCGCGAGGTTGTCACTTATGCTTTAGTATACAAATGAATGAATGATTTTATTCGAATAAAACCATTCGATAGTTGAAATCATTCATTCAGTAACCATTCGATAGTCTAATTCATTCGATAGTTCCCATCGCTAGTTTAAAGCTTTTATAGCGTTTTGTGTGCATTAAAGAACACGCAAAAGAGAGACTTGACAGGTCTGCACTCCCTATCAGGAATAGAGTGATGTGAAGACTTGAAGTAAATAATGTTCTGGGAAGACATGAAGTTAATAAGTGTCAAAAAATCGGTTTGTCATGTTTTATTTGTAAAATGTCCTAGCTAAGAGCACAGTTTAAAGAATACAAAATATATATTTATATATTTTATATTATTTAAACTGGGCTAAGAGCGTCCAATTTTACATAAAACTAGTCTCTATAGTTTTTTAGCTTAAATCAAAATTAACCGTGATAGGGTGGCTAGAAGCTAGGGCACAGCTTTTATGGATTTTTTTTAAAGTTCTTACCGTTTCTGCGAAATTTGAAAAAAAAACACTTTATTAAAAAAAACACTAAAACGCGAGCACTTTTGTCCAGGAAAATAATTTTAAAAATTACGATGAGCGATTCCGAAAGTCTCCCTTCAGATGTAGAAGTTGCCGCAGTACATGGTACAAAATAGTGATGTAAAAACGTTATAACTAAACGGTTGTAGATATAAAATGTTTAATAATCTATAATTCTATCTAATCACATGGTACTTGTATCATGGTACTAATTTAAAACAGTTTAAAATAATTACAATATCAATTTAAAAAAAATGTTTTGTATTTTTTATTGAAAAAAAAATATTTATCTACAACCGTTTAGTTATAACGTTTTTACATCACTATTTTTTTAGTATTTCAGTTACGTTATGAGATTCATAACACAACTAGTGGTGTTATGAATCTATAACACAACTAGTTTTTATAATAATGAAAAACAACTACGAATATCTAAATAACTGGTTGTATGTTTTTCCATATTTTGATCGCGACTTTTCCGGCAATAATGATTCCGTGGCACGTACTGCGGCAACTTCTACACCTGAAGGGACATTTTCGGAATGGCTCACCGTAATTTTTAAAATTATTTATCTGGACAAAAAGTGCTTGCGTTTACTTGACAGGGCAAACTGACTTATCAGAAAAAAAAACTCTCTATTTGATAAACAACGTTTGTAACTATAGTCTGAAGCAGGTAACAATTACCCACAATTATAATTAAAAAAATGTGACAAATGTCATAGTTAAAGGTGGGCGACTAATAAACGAAAATTAAAACAGCATTTTCTTATTTTTCGGTTGTAGATAAAACGTTGTATAATAAACGCCACGAATGTTTGGGAGTGATTCATCGGTCGCTACCATAGACTTAAAATAAAATATAGACTACACTATTTACATCTCAACGCGGACAAACAACCTTTTTTGTACACATGTTTACTTCTGGGTACAGTCGACCGAGCCTTCCTCATCCAGCCTATGTTGTCACGTCTTTAATATTATCAATATTTTTTTTCTTGTTATACACATATATTGAGATATTAATACTACAGTTTAATAAAGTAGGTTTTAATATTCCATAGATGTATTAAATAGTCCTTATACTACTAAATTATAAGTCGGATACTGTTCAAAAAGGATAAGTTCTTTACAATATGACAACACCGATTAGAGGCGAGGGAGCCTATTCATTCATTTATTACCTTGTAGTACGCGTCGCACGTGTGCGCTAAAGCTTTGTGGCCGCTATGTCCCCGGCTGTATTAATGCATTTTCTTAGCTTGTCGTCCTTAAGTGTCTATTTTATTGACTTTTTCTGTTCAAGAACTATAAAATATGGTTCGCCAGTGCCAAATTTGCAAGAAATTTGACTTAAATAATCCATTTAAGTCTTGAAACGACTTTCGACTGGTAGGCAACTCTCAATTTACCCATTGGGAGTCAGTGGCGTTGTTGTAGAAAGGCGCTTATTTAGATAATATTTTAGTAAAATGTAAAATCTGATTTTTTTCTCTTACATTACATTATTTACTTACTTACATTGTAACAAAATCATAATTATAACCCTGTTAATAATTAATAATGTTTTATTAAAAATATATTCCGGTTTATTCTAAAATTATTTTCAGAATCTAAAATAGCATACAAGAATTTTAAAATGATATTACATTATGAAACAATATTTTTTAATATACCGGGTCGTCTCAAAAGTGGCTCACCCTTATAACTTTTTTATTTTTCAGATAAAAAAAACAGATTTGTATGTTAGTAGGTATATGACATAAATTAGGATTTATAGACGTATTCAATTGTTTTTGGTCTCTTCCTGTTTCACCGAAATGATTACATCTTTTGATTTTTAAAGGCACCCTCGGTATATTGCTACTTTATTCGATAAAAAATGACACTCTGAATAGAATGACATATCATATGTCAACTTTTGACATTGTCGCTTAAAAACATATCCTATTTTAAATTTCAATCCAGTTTTTAGTAGAATCTAATTTCTAATCACACGAGTGTTGTAATCATGTTTAAACGCACGTGTCATGTACAACGTTTTATCTACAACCGAAAAATAAGAAAATGCTGTTTTAATTTTCATTTATTAGTCGCCCACCTTTAACACCTTTAACTATGACATTTGTCATATTTTTCGTAGTTGTTTTTCATTATTATAAAAACTAGTTGTGTTATAGATTCATAACACCACTAGTTGTGTTATGAATCTCATAACGTAACTGAAATACTAAAAAAATAGTGATGTAAAGACGTTATAACTAAACGGTTGTAGATAAATAAAACTATTACATAGTCGTAACAAAATTAAGTATTTTATGCTTTCTGGTAAATTATTATTTTATATCATTTATGATTTATTTCAAAACCAATGATTCTTTTAGTGTAAATTAGTCAGTGGGGCAGCCAATATATGAATGATTCCATCAGTGCACTCGTAGTTTGGTCGAACTACTTTAATGTAAGCTTGATTGTACTTGATGTAGTAGGTATCATCTATTTCCAGTACAGTCAGTTTTACGAGTCCTCCAATCGTTTTTAGCCTAATACCTCTGAAAAATAAAACAATTTTTAATAATAACACCGCGTGTCCAAGAATATAAGCAACACTTGAAAAACATTGTAGGACTTAATGATCAACCATAAAAACATTTAGCTAAAACAATGCCAAATCATTGAAGTTAAATATGATAATAATTATTTTAAATTAACTGTAATTATTGTCATTTTGATAATATTAATATTTGATGTTACCAAGTGGAAAATAAGTGCTATAACAGTTTTTCTATATCTAAATAGTTATTAAACAAGAAATGAACAATACTAAAAATTCATAAGTTATACATACGAGGTATTTGAGTTCTTTGATAGTGCTAGTAGTCGTTCCATAGAATAAGGTACATCGGAAATAACAAGATGTTTCTTGAGCAACTCGACATCATTCTCAGAATAAGTAAGTCCTTTTTTCTTCATCTGTAGCAAAGCGTGATTGTTTGGGATAAAGTATGTGAACGAAACATTATGGGTGGTGAATATTTTATTAAATCCTGAAAATAACATTGTGATTAATTTTTGTTAATAATATACAGTATTGGCCAAAAGTGGATGAACCAATACCAATAATTGCGAAGAAAATCAGATTTGAGGTGTTAAATATCAAAATTATTTTATGTACGTTTGTATGTTAAAAGGTTTGGTAATACATCCTCACCAAAATACTACAAACAAATATAAATTCTTCTGTTAGTCTTATCAGTTATAGATAAGAATTGGCAAATGTTGCTTTTTTGTCTTGGACAAAAGTAGATGAACCGAATATTTTTAAAAATCGTTAGTTTCATTTGTCCTGCTTTTATGAACAATTGCGATTTAAAAACATTTGAGCTCTTGTGATATATCATGCCACGTGGAATTAACTTGTCTGCAGATCTTAAGTTGCGGGTAGTGAATGCTTTTAAGGATGGTTTGAAGCAATCGGAAATCGCTAAGCAATTACGCCTTGGAAAATCAGCGGTACATTATATTTTAAAGAGATATAATGAGAGAGGAGATGTCTCTATAAAAAGAAAACCAGAACGACCTAAAAAAGTTGGTTCCAATGTGATAAAAGCCATAAAACGAATTTCTTCACAAGATCCATTTTTGCCGTCAACCAGTTTGCCGTCAACTAGTTGATCAGAAGTTGTTTTCCCGAAGACCCGCCAAGAAACCACTGCTATAAAAAAAATGAAGGCCCGATTAGCATTTGCTAAGGAACATCAAAACTGGACTGTGGCACAATGGAAAAAAATTGTTTTAGTGATGAATCAAAGTTTAATTTGGTGTTATCAGATGGAATTCAACATGTAAGAAGACCTACAAACACACGATTGCTATCAAACTACACGCGACCCACTGTAAAACATGGTGGGGGCTCAATCATGGTATGGGGCTGTTCTTCTGGGTATGGGATGGGGCCTCTCCATAAAATTGAGGGCATAATGGATCGGTTTGGCTACAGAGACATTTTACAAAACCTTTTAGTGCCTTATTTGGAGGAAAAAATGCCAATTGTACACTACTTCCAACATGATAACGACCCGAAACATGCCTCACATTGGTTAAAAGGATTTTGGAAGATGAAATGGTGAGTGTTCTCAAATGGCCATCGCAATCCCAGACCTGAATCCAATAGAAAATTTATGGGAAATTTTGGATCAACACATTAGGACCAAATTCTACAAAAATAAGCAAGAATTATTTGCAGCTTTGGAAGAGTCTTGGAAAAATATCGATTTTTCAATAATTAAAAATCTTCTGAGATCTTTGCCTAAGCGATGTCTGAAAGTAATTAAGAATAAGGGTTACACTAAGTACTAGTAAATTATAAGTTAATTTTTCAGTTTTTGTTAACATAAGATTTTTTTTTATTAAATATATATTTTGTTCATCTACTTTTATCCAATGGTTTTTTCAATTTAAATTTTTTGCTGCCTTATTAAAGCAAATTTTAAAAAAACAATGTTATTTATTTTTATAGCACCGACACTTGACTTGAAATAAATATAGCTCAAATTTTAATTTTAAACATATCAGAAAAAACATTATTTTAACAAAGTTCATCCACTTATAGCCAATACTGTAGTTGTTTTTCAAATAATATAAATCAATTATTTATTTATTTATTTAAAAATAATATCTCATTATTAGGCAACTAAAAAAATACAAGTAAAATAGTAAGTATTATACATTCATAGATATAAAAAATGATCACATTAGTTCTTTACCAGTTCTTTCTCCTAGTTCGAAAAATGTGTCCAATGTTGGATCTGCTGCCAATTTAGCCATAATTGGTAGGAATGGAAAAGGATTAGTTCTGTTGTAGATACCCAATGGTTCAGATATGAGATGAACGACTCCATTGTACACCGGTATGTTTGCTTTGATAATATTCGCTCTAAAAGTACCTTTAGGGTTGTCCTCATTACCAGCTATGGTACTGCTATACACATATAAGTCTGTTTCTGAAAGATTATGATAGTAAATTATGATTTTTAGCGAAACAATTTCATTTATAAGTAATTCTTTGAATAAAAAGATGGACTGCGATGGGGAATTAATATGGCTGACTTAAATTCCGCGCGGTTCATCAGTTTATATATACAGGGTGTCCCAGGCTGAGCGTGCATTAGAAGTGTCTAGAGAACTACAATATCTAGATCGGAGATTTTTTGCATATTATTGTTTCATAACAAGATTTATCGATTAAAAATATTTTTAATATGGTGGCACTTCCTGAACTACCGGAAGTTGACAACAACTTTCTTATTTGAAACTGGTACCCCAATTTTTATTACACACTTAAATTCTCTGTAACATTTTATAAATTTTAATATCAAATAGTCTGTATCTAACATTGACCATTTCGGAGAAAAAAATATTTAAAATTTATGGAGTAAAAAAACTGCCTGTCAAAAAGCTCTATATAGTCTAAATGACAAATTTAGTGATTATCACAGCCACTGTGGCATAGAGAAGAGAAGGGGCATGTGGCTATCTGTTTCAAAAATTAAATTGTTCGAATGTCGTATAATATTGGCCGTAGTTGTCATGGAATTGAGCGATTAAAAATTATCTTAAATCATTTTTTTCAAATGGAAACCCACTTTTTTTAGTTCACTAATATTATATGACATTCAAACAATTTAATTTTTGAAATAAATAGCTACATGTCTTCTCTTTATGGCACAGTGGCCGTGGTAATCACTAAATTTGACGTTTAGGCTATACACATATTTTTGACAGGCAGTTTTTATCGTTCAAAAATTAAAATTTTTTTTTTCTCAAAAACGGTTAATGTTAGTATAGACTGTTTGATATAAAAATTCATAAACTTTTACAGAAAATTTAAGTATGTAATAAAAAATGGGGGTACTTATTTAAAATAAGAAAGTTGCTGTCAACTTCCGGTATTTCCGGAAGTGCCGCCATATTGAAAATATTTTTAATCGATAGATCCCATTATGAAACTATGATGTGCAAAAAATCTCTAAGCTAGCTGTTGTAGTTCTCTAGAAACTACTAATGCACGCTCAGCCTGGGACACCCTGTATATGTGTAAAAATATAATAGTAGGGTAAACTCAATAATTTGTTGGTTTTGCTTTACGTTGTCAATAGATGTTTTTATTTATGTATTAAAATTGTTATAAAAATATATTTCTAAAAATAGATGTTATAATAATTATTGATTAACAAAAATATCAGTTATGCTACTGAAACACCCAAATCAAATTGACGCATCCTAATCATATTTGACAAAGTAATAAAGCAATAATGTCACTGTTAATTTAAGTTCAGATAATATCCTTTTAGATTCACTACCTCTAAACAAAACCGATTTTAGAATAAACAATAAAGCCCATAAGTCAGAAAATCAATGAACAAATCTCCTACTTCTTTCTTAATCTTTTTATTTAAAAAGTTATTTTACCTGTTCCATCCATGGAAATAACTATATAAGTGTTGTCATCGTTTGCCATAGTTTCGTAATTGAAGTTTTTCCTTGTGGGTCTGCTAAACAGTACGAAGTCTGGTATGATATGTCCAAAAATTGTATTTCTATTCAGCATTTTAAACTTGTATGTATCTATGCTCCGATCTATCTAAATAGTAGTATGTATTAGAAAATATAATATATGACAAAACATAATGTGGCATTCAAGATATTTCGACAGAGAAGAAGAAAAAAAGAAAAGATTTTCAGTAATTTTTATTCATGAAAAAAATCTTTAGTTACAGCAAGCTGAAAGTAAACTATTCAAAATAGACTATATTATCTAAACTTTTCAGTTTATATGTCATCGAATACTTGTCTATTAAAGTGGTGATATGTTTTGATGATTATGTAATATGTTGGTGACATAAGCTAAATATTTTAAAAGATATAAGTCAAGACAGAACGTCAATATATAAAAGTTTGCTATATTTTATTTTTCTTTTCCACAAGAATTGGTTTTTTTAATCACTAAATATGCATTTTACTTTGTTTTGTCTATTTTAATAAAGCTTTTTTCTCATTTTCTTTTTGATATACTCGTATGTAGCTGTATTTTTATTAAGTATTTCTGTAGATTAAATTTCTCATTCTCATAGTCGATCCCGGGATTTCAAAGCGGGATCCCAATCCCGAAAATTGGAAACCCTAGCCAGGATGCTTTTTTAATGACTTAAGTCATTAAAATGATTAAATCCAAAAAGACTTTTTTAAAAAGTTTTCTGTGAGCTTGCAGCTCTGGGTATACAGGGTGTCCCAGGCTGAGCGTGCATTAGAAGTTTCTAGAAAAGTACAATATCTAGATCGGAGATTTTTTGCATATCATTGTTTCACAACGCGACCTATCGATTAAAAATATTTTCAATATGGCGGCACTTCCGGAAATACCGGAAGTTGACAGCAAATTTCTTATTTTAAACGGGTACCCCCATTTTTTATTACATACTTAAATTCTCTGTAAAATTTTATGAATTTTGATATTAAACACTCTATAGTGATGCAAAACAATAGATCTGAACATATCATATTATGACACTTTGTTCAAAAAGCAGTATTTTATCGATTATCATTTCCACGCCAACTTTGCACTGTTTTTTTTTCGATCATACGGTATATTATTAATAATATCAACTATTACATATCACTAAAGAGCGAAAATACGAGATATATCTTTATATATAAACTTTTTAAACTCTTAAGGCAGGCAGTATTTATAATAGAGAAAATTCAAATAATTCGTTTTTTGATAGATTGAAATAAATTGTCTGACAATTTGACACTTACTGTCAAAGGAATCTAGATAAAATCAAGGAAAATATACGTTTTCAAACTAAATCTTAAATAACTTAAAAACGATTTATTTTAGGTATAGGAACATGTATACTCAAAAAGTAACGAATTGGAAAACCTTTCCACTAGTGAAATAAAAAAAGTGGGTTTCCATTTGAAAAAAATAATTTACGATAATTTTTTAATCGCTGTATTCAATGAAAGCTAACGTCATAACTATATGACATTCGAACAATTTAATTTTTGAAATAGATAGCCACATGCTTTCTCTTTAGGTCACAGTGACTGTGGTAATCATTAAATTTGACTTTTAGGCTATACAAATTTTTTTGACAGGTAGTTTTTTTCCTCTAAAAATTTTCAATATTTTTTTTCTCAAAAACGGTTAATGTTAGATATAGAGTGTTTGATATCAAAATTCATAAAATTTTACAGGGAATTTAAATATATAATAAAAAATTGGGGTACCCAATTAAAATAAGAAAGTTGCTGTCAACTTCCGGTATTTCCGGAAGTGCCGCCATATTGAAAATATTTTTAATCGATAGATCTCGTCGTAAAACAATGATGTGCAAAAAATCTCCGATCTAGATATTGTGGTTCTCTAGAAACTTCTAATGCACGCTCAGCCTGGGACACCCTGTATACAGGGTGAGTTTTAAATAACTTCAAAGATTTTTAGGACAAGAAAAAATATGTTTTTTTTTATCGAGAGTGTTTGAAAGTTGGAATAAAGTGGGAATGTAAATAATAAATATCCTATAACTCCGCACTATGCTATATTACCGGAATTAAATACGTGTTTGCTCCTCCCAATTGATATAAATGTGCTAAACCATTCTCGTTAACTTTATGTAGAAAGTTGCTGACGCCATCTTTAATATCCAGGTTCCACTTCCATATGGATAGCATAAAATCGTAAGCGGTCAAAGTAGTTTTCGGTAGTCGAACGTACGGATCCAAAACTTTGTCTATGACATGAAGAACCTTTAAGATACAAGTAAAAAAGTGAAATTTTTATTTTCATTTAGAATCTCGCAATTAGTGGAATAAATTAGTGGTTTCAATAATTACACTTTACACTTTTAGTTTACCGTCATTCACAATGTTTAAAAAATACAATTAACATTAATAGAACATCCTAGCAACAGCTTGGGTTAGTCAGTTGTATCCATAGAGAATGCCTAATATCACAAGTTTACAAATTCGGGTCAACTTTTGGACCCGAGCAGATGAGAACGATTCTTAACGTTATTTGATGCCCCGAACTCAGATCTTCAATCCGTATGACAAGATTGGCTCTAGTTTTCGAGTTCGCACATGGCAGTAGCACTGCGCTTTTATAACAGCCCGGGTAGTCGACGCACGGTCAGTTGACGACGTTGATACCACTTGTAAACCCACAGGACGTTTTACTGCCACCTCTTCATATTAAATTTGGCCTTATTAAGAACTTTGTCAAAGCGCCCAATCGCGAAGGACCAGCTTTCCAGTACTTAACCAAGATGTTTCCAAAACTGTCATACGCAAAAATCAAAGAAGGAATATTTGTCGGACCTGATATTCGAAAACTAATGGCTGACGCAACGTTTACAAAATGTTTAACGGTTGATGAGGCAGCAGCATGGGCATCGTTTCAAAGGGTTGTTCACAACTTTCTCGGTAATCATAAATCACTGGAATACAAGCAAGTAATCGACAATTTGTTGCAAAATTACCACAAGATTGGAGCTCGATTGTCTCTCAAAATACATTTTCTGCACTCACATCTTGATTTTTTTCCACAAAACTTGGGCAACACGAGCGACGAGCAAGGAGAGCGGCTACACCAAGATATAGCGAAAATCGAAAGGCGATACCACGGATTTTGGGACGAAGGCATGATGAGCGATTACTGTTGGGCCCTAATCCGTGAAACAGATCCCAAGCAGTATAAAAGACTCAGTTCAACCTCTGCTCATTTCTGATTTATATTGTTTAATCCAATAAATAACCGTTAACGGCCAAAAATAGTAAAATAATGAATTTATTGTATATTTCGAAAACTAGAACCAATCTTAAAAAATGGACTGCTGGTTTGAATTCAGCTCCAAAAATTATCTTTTAGTCTATTATCTAAATTGCTTTTAGTTGCTCAGGTCCAAAACCGTGTATACTTTTGTATTTAGCTTATAAAACAATTAATTTTTGATTTCTAATCACAATCATATCACAAATTCTCTAGACGGAAGATATACATTTTGTAGATAATCCAAGGCCAAAAATGCCAAAATGACATTTCTCGTAAATTTTGAAGTATAATTACTGGAAAAGTTAAAAGTTTGATAACTTTCTGTACTAACTGAAATTGTACTCTAATTGAAACCACTAATTGTGAGGTTCTTTCTTTGTTTGTCGTTGTTCTTAGCAACCACTATCAGTGCAAAGCAGTGCCCTACAAATTACGGGATCCAAAAAAAAATTGTAAGTTTTAATATTACTTAAAATTTGTCAGAACATTGCTTTATCAAATCAAAAACAAACTAACTTGTTGTTTTCCATCTGGCGGGTGCCGTGTACTTTCGATATAATCGGATCTATCCAGCAGAATTTCCGCATTGTTCACGAACAGCCTGTCGTCGTCGGTTTTGGTTATCCACAGTTTGGGAAAGTTGTGTTTGACGCTGGATAAACCTCGAGTAGATTTCAAGTCGTCCAAAATAGTCAAGCCGGTGGCCATGTGGTAAAACGCCGTGTCGCTGTGGAGAGGTTTGGTAAACTCTTGGAAAGCTGAATTAGTCTGTTTTGATAAATAATAAATATTTACATAGAATGATAAATAATAAATATTTACATAGAATGATAAATAATAAATATTTACATAGAAAGTAGAGTTAATTACTTATACTGGGCGTTTAAGCGTTTAACAAAATACTATACGATAGAAAAAAAAAATATGTGGGAGGTGAAGCCCTATAGACGTCATTAACTTGGTCTGTACTCCTTTTTATTTTATAATTTTTTATAGTACTCCTTTTTACTATCAGTTGGCCTTAAGAAGGTTGTAATTTATGGTTGTAATTTATTTTTATATAGTGTAAAAATGATTTTTAAATGGTGCAAATTGAGAGAAATATTTTTTGAAAATCGATTTGTGTGTCTGAAAATATTCTATCATTAGTGTCCATTTTTGATGGTTGTTTTGGTGAAGTACCACCTATGTCAATTTTTAGTAAATGACGTCTAGAGATTGACCGCGCCAAAATTATCATGGATTGTCATTACTCAGCCATCTTTGACGCCGTTTTTTCAATCATACGGTATTAAAATGTACTCTCAATAATGTTCAAATAATAATTTATTACAGGAAAATACCGTATGATCCAAAAAACAGCGTCCAGTTGGCTTGAAAAAGGACGTCGATGTTGACACTTGACACGCATCGACGAAGAAGGACATAATAACGACACATGGCGGGCATTCCCCATATAATTTTGTGTAGACCACATAAAAAAGAAAGATTAATTAAAAATGATTATAGGCTAGCTTTTATGTACAATACATTAAACTAAATACAAAACACAAATCATAGGCAGAATACACACTATGAAGACAATACAAAATATATACCGGATGCGTCATAAAAGTGGCTCAACCTTATAACTTTTTTATTAGTTCAGATAAAAAAGCCAGATTTAGTATGCTAATATATGACATAAATTAGGACTGATTGACGTATTCAATTGTTTTTGGTTGCTTCCTGTTTCACCGGAAATAAATACAACTTTTGATTTTTAATTGGCACTCCGGTATATTTTTACGGTATTTGATGAGAAAATGACACTCTGAATAGAATAACATCTCATATGTCAACTTTTGACATTTTGGCTTAAAAAAATATTGTATTATAAATTGTTAGAAAAATATATTTCATCGTCTAATGTTTTTCGTGTCTTATCCTGGCGGGTTAAAAGATGTTAAAAATCGTATTTTTAATCATATCTGAAGTTTTTCAAATAGAACAAGGGTGGATCATTAGCATATTTGAAAAAAGCATTTTTTATAAAAAAATTGCTACCGCACATTTGGTATTTTGAGTCAAATTGTTGTTATGAACAGCATGTTAGAACTTTATATAAGCCATATGCGAAAATGTACAAAGTTGACATATGATATGTCATTCTATTTAGAGTGTCATTTTCTATCGAATAAAGTAAAAAAATACCGAGAGGATCATTTAAAATCAAAAATTGTAGTCATTTCCGGTGAAACAGGAAGTGACCAAAAACAATGAATACGTCAGTCAATCCTAATTTATGTCGTATACTAACATACCAAATTTCGTTTTTTCTATCTGAAAAAATGAAAGGGTTATAGGGTTAAGACACTTTTGAAACGCACCCGGTATATACAAGTTACATCCGGTATATTTGTCAATATTTTTTTTAAATTTAAGGATACTTTACTAACAAGAAGAACAAATAAAAAAAAACTTACAGGAATAAACAGCGTTAGTTCATTCTGCAGTAAATCCTTTTGGGCTTCCCTGTTCCTTCTTATTAGTTCAGCAAAACTTTCGTAGTCCCCCTCTTGAGTTAATTTGTTGTAGATACTTCTGCGAGGCTTGTTATAAGCTCGAACACGAACCAGAAAACACGCTACAAAAATGATCGAAATTAGAGTCGACAAGACGTTCATTTTGGCAACTGAGACGGATTTATCTATCCGCGAGACTCACTTCCAGATTTGTTTTGTTGTTTACGTTTAGATAATGAGAATTCCGGACAAGGTTGCGACCGAATTATATTTGTTTGATATTAATCGCCAGCACTATTTGTCATAGATCGATTTATTTTACTCGGTTTTTAATTTATAAATTTATGTTGTATAGTACGTCCAAGAATTTTGGAAATGTTTGTTTCTCAAAACATTTTTATTCTTAATAAAAGTACGAGTAGGATTCTCCTACAGAGGGTTCCTTACAAATGAAAAGTTTTCAGATTTTTTCTAGGCCCACTCTGGCCACTTAAAATGTTACTCTATAAGGAATAGTCACTTTGAAGTATATTTCGAGAGTGACCGGTTAATGCCTACCTACAATAAAAGTGGAAAAGAAACACCCCGATTGCAAGTCGCAAACATGTAATTTAAAGAAGTGACTGGAACTACCCGAATCTTCGAATATGACACCATAAAAGACTAAAAACTTTATAGTAACTTTTCAAAGTAGGGGTTACTAACAAGTGCTACCATAATGCCTCCATTAAGTTTTATTACTTTCTATAAAGTAACAAAACTTATTGTTACTATAACAATTTAAGTTACGGGGTTCTAATTTATAGTAGCATTGAAAGTAGCAAAATGGTTACTGCTACCTTCCTAGGTCACTATAAAGTAGCCGTCGCTCATCCATTGCCACTAAAAAGTCACTGGGATCAAAAACGGCTACTTTATAGTGACCATAACCATATATCCTAATAAATGTAATTGCCTCAGATTGCATCGTGTGCATGCTGCTCTGTTTTAGTGTTTTCTTTTACTTGCTTTTAAACTTTATTAAAATTTTGTAAAGTCTAAGGTGAATAAAAAGAAATTTAGATATTTTATCGTTTCCATTTGGCGTAGTCGCGTCGCTAAATGGGAATTTCAAAGGACAAGGTGGAACGTTATAGTGGCACCAATGGAATGTATAGTCGCCACCGCCGCGATCGGTGTAGCATAATGCTCAAATTAAGTGGCAATTTGGTGGCGCAGGGAACTTTCTTGGAAAAAATCACTTTATGGTTCCAAAGAATCGTTGGCCATGTAGTTCCAAAAAAGTTATTGTTTCTATAAAGTCGCCTTTGGGTAGCTACAATTATTGTCACTTTATCAATCAAAATCTTCGGATTGAAAAGGTCCAAACGGGTAGGGTTGGCCTAATATGTTATTGTTCCCGGTAGTTTGTAGAAGCATATGGAACTATAAAGTATTTTTCGGATTAAACTTTTTTCATGACTTTTTAGAGGAACAGCCAAACGGCTCAAACATTATGCGTTTTCAAGCTAAATATACCTAGGTTAAAGCTTTTTTCCTTACTTATTTTGTTATTTCTGACGGTAGACTAATATTTTAAAGTTTGATCCCAGTTTCAAGGAAATTATTATTATTTTTTAATTACTACATGAGATTCTATTGCAAATAATATAATAATTTGAAATATTTTGAGAGGCGCTTGAAAATATTGTCAATAAACCCACTATTTTATTCAGTAAAGTCGATTGCGTTTTGGAATTTACCTAATAAAGGCGTTAAAATCGTACGGTAAATAACGAAAAAATAATAATGGCTTCCATAATTATTTTCCATCATGACATTTAGTTTTATGAAATGTGAAATTGCATGAAGAGGTCGCTGCGAATAAAGTTTAATAGTTTAACGAAAATTCCACATGTCGGTCGGTGGATAACACTTGGCTGTCACGAATCCTCGACTAGGCAGCTTCGTAACAGATAAGTCGCATTCACCAGTAGGCTAATTTATAGTAACACATCATAGTAACTCTTTTAGTTGCAAAAACTACCCAAGACACTACCCGGTTAGTCAAAATCTTTCTCCATTTTGGTCGCAGTTACTTAGAAGCTACGAATATTCGACGTAGCCGCCGATGGTCACCGCCCACTTTGTAGTAGCTTTGATAGTAGCAGTTACGTATCTACCACTATAAATGCTAGTTGGGCTGCGTATGCTGAATACACATTTGAACAATTTTGGTGAAGCCGATTTTAACTAATTTAAGAAAAACTACATCTATTGATAAATTAAAACTGAACAGGTAACAATGCAAAACTAGGCAAATATCAACATACCTTCAGTTGTCAGTGATATGCTTGACTTTACTCAACTTATTCACAGGTGAATGCCTTGCTCTACTAGTTTTAGGATTTAGATTAGCTAGGAACTTTGTATAAGTCAAAATAAATAAAGACAATAGATGTCCGATATTGGACATGGACAATGGAGTAAGCACCATTAAAAAATAAAGAAGAAAAATAAAGACTGTCATTCCCCAGCTGTCTTTGATGTCGTTTTTTGGATCGTATGGTATTTAATGTTATCACTGTGATTTTATATCAATCTCAAATACTAGTCTTTACTAATGTCAATTAATGTTTTTTTTTTAATTTTTATAGATTTATTTTTACTTTTTACATATTTATTATTGATTAATACAATTTTTAGGAATGTGTATAATCTTCATTTTTTTTTAAATTACTTATACGCGCATTCAAAATTTCAGCTAAATTGGAAATAAAGTTTATAATAATATAGTGTCTAAAGCGGGCCACTCACGATACTGCGGCGCCATACAACAGAATCGTACAACAAAATTGAACAATTTTGCAGCAAATTGCCAACGCTCACTCACGATCAAACATTTAGTTTAAAAGTGTTGTTCAAGCAAAAATGTCGGAAAGCGAAGAAGATATTTTGTTAGCAACAGCTGCAGTATGTGCAGTGCAAATAATTGAAAACGCAAGAAACGATATTGTAATCGAAGGTGGTGGTGTAAGGAATGGTTACTAAAAAGATCCACATATTCACATATTAATTTACTCGAAGAATTACGGCTGTACCCAGATGATTGGCGTAATTATCTACGAATGGACAAAAAGTCATATTTAGAGTTACTTAATTTAGTTGCACCCTTCATTAGAAGAAAAGATACGAATATGGGCTCCACTTCTTTGAATTTTTCAACTAGAGTACACATTGTCCGTTTTCTTACTACACGATCATGATACTCTGGGGCTTTAACTTTCCAAAGACACGTAATAAAGCGGGCCACTCACGATACTGCGGCGCCGTACAACAGAATCGTACAACAAAATTGAACAATTTTGCAGCAAATTGACAACGCTCACTCACGATCAAACATTTAGTTTAAAAGTGTTGTTCAAGCAAAAATGTCTGAAAGCGAAGAAGATATTTTGTTAGCAACAGCTACAGTATGTGTAGTGCAAATAATTGAAAACGCAAGAAACGATATTGTAATCGAAGGTGATGGTGTAAGGAATGGTTACTAAAAAGATCCACATATTCACATATTAATTTACTCGAAGAATTACGGCTGTACCCAGATGATTGGCGTAATTATCTACGAATGGACAAAGACTCATATTTAGAGTTACCTAATTTAGTTGCACCCTTCATTAGAAGAAAAGATACGAATATGGGCTCAACTTCTTTGAATTTTTCAACTAGAGTACACATTGCCCGTTTTCTATACTTTACTCTGGGGTTTTAACTTACCAAAGACACATAATAAAGCGGGCCACTCACGATACTGCGGCGCCGTACAACAGAATCGTACAACAACATTGAACAATTTTGCAGCAAATTGACAACGCTCACTCACGGTCAAACATTTAGTTTAAAAGTGTTGTTCAAGCAAAAATGTCGGAAAGCGAAGAAGATATTTTGTTAGCAACAGCTGCAGTATGTGTAGTGCAAATAATTGAAAACGCAAGAAACGATATTGTAATCGAAGGTGATGGTGTAAGGAATGGTTACTAAAAAGATCCACATATTCACATATTAATTTACTCGAAGAATTACGGCTGTACCCAGATGATTGGCGTAATTATCTACGAATGGACAAAGACTCATATTTAGAGTTACTTAATTTAGTTGCACCCTTCATTAGAAGAAAATATACGAATATGGGCTCCACTTCTGTGAATTTTTCAACTAGAGTACACATTGCCCGTTTTCTTACTACACGATCACGATACTCTGGGGCTTTAACTTTCCAAAGACACGTAAAACTTCGGTAGATTTCAAAAAACCTAGTTAAAAATTGTTGGGAATATTTACATCTTTACAGAAATCGGCACGATTTTACTGCTGCAGTTAAAAGTTTCGAACTGCGATCCAATACAATTCAACTCGGTCGGTTGTGCACACACACGATACCATATTGTCAATTGTCGTCCGATTTTGTCGTATCCAACATAATCGTACTGCGGCGTAGTATCGTGAGTGGCCCGCTTAATGTTGTATAGATAATGAATGTACGGAACCCTGCGTACGCGAGTCCGACTCGCACTTGATCAATTTTTTTAAATCCAAGGCATTCGTATTCAAAATATAAATTTTGAAACATCTCAAGAATTTTTAGGATAAACAAATCTATTTCTTATACAAAGTTTTCTGTTATTTATTCTTAATTCAATATGAAACTTCTAGTTTACATTTGTAGAGTTTTTCTAACGTGCTATTAATATAGTTCAATGTCGCAAATAAATAATTAAATTGCTATTTGTTGATATGATTTTCAGTATGTTCTGGTCATTTTCGCGGCGGTAATAGGCAAATATTGGTGTTGCTGTTGTCGTCGCTCACCTTTAATAATAAATCCACTTGTTTTCCGTGAGTGATATATTTTTCAGGCAAATGTGACGAAATAGTGTTGTGCCAAGCATACAATAGGAACGTCGGTATTTATTTAGTTCGTGATTTTTTACGTTCATTTTCAATGTTCGTGTTCGTGTTTGTGTGTTTTTGAATATTTCGTCTTTTTTATATAATTTTTATAAAAACTTTTTTCAAAAAGTGACTTCAATTTTACTTTTAGAAGTTATCAACAATTAATAGACCTTTAAATGGTCTTAGGATTATTTAATTGATATTATTTGACATATTATGGTAAGAATGATCTTTAAACTATCA